GGAATTAACAAAACAATAAGAAACGGAAATAAGTCCAGTGAGAGGGCGCATTAAAAAGTGTTAAGCCACATTTCGAAGTGAAGTGAATGAAAAAATGTTTAGCATAAATCCATTGCCCATTTCTAAGCCTGCCCTCTGAAAATAACCACTTTTGGTGTCGAAGTAAACTATGATCAATTTGACATCTATCCATCCATCCACTCCATCCGCCTTTTGCAGTCCACTGCTGGACAAAGGCCTCCCAAGGGCACGCCACAGAGCAAGATCTTCCGCTTTCCTCATCCAGCCCTTAACTGTGGCAGGACCACGCAACAGTGTTCGCTGTTGCACAAATGGGCAGGTCCGTCCGGATTAGTACAACGACCTCACAGAAGACCGCCATGAAGTAGAAGTGTAACACGTCTGCGTTTCGTCTGGTGAGTTAGGTAGCGAGGGCCCACTTTATTAAAGGGTGGCAACGCATCTGCAACCCTACGGGTCTTGCAAATGTCTACGGGCGGCGGTTGTCACTTAATATCAGGTGAACAGCCAGCTCGTTTGCCACTCTCTTAAAAAAAAACCACTTCTACTGACCTCCCTAGGGTCATCGGTCCACCTTACAGTGGGGCAATTTGATATAACACAAGTGATTCCTCGGCGGAGGATTATTTGGTTTAATAGACACTATTTAATATCGGTTGTAAACAGGCGCGAATCTTTTTATAAAGACTGAGGTGGTTAATTTGAACTCTAACCTTGGCCCCCATGACGCTTCCGAACATCCGGGCGTCAGAAAGTTATGACCTTCACACGTAATTATGTTTAAGCCGTTAAAAGAAAAGAGGAAACCAATTGCTGCCTCACACATTAACCTCTTAAGATGTTATGTGGTTAACCGAAGAGAAATTCAGTTATTAACTCCAGTGTGGTTGGGGATGTGGATTAGATAAAAAAGTATACTTGTCTTTAAGCTTGGTTTTTAGTAGCTTATTGATAGGTATTATTTTTTTTCCACAGTGGGCGCTACGAGCCGGTCCTCGAAGACGTTGGAGCGGGAATCGAATATATAGACCAAGGAGCCTCAAACCAGACATCGCAGCCCAGTGAGGTATATTTAGAAGTACCTCTCAATGCGTCGAACTCAGCCGAACGAAAAGTCGAGACGACTCCAGCGCCTTTTACATACCCCACAAAAGCGTTTCACCCTTTCTCCAAGGAACTTTATGATGAAAGTCTCCAAACAAACGGTCCTTCTGTATCCAGTCCCTATGTATTTGAAGATAACACAGAGACTAGATTTAAACTACCTATCTCAGAGCAATATGATCCCGATGGTACTAAAATTGATTGGAGAAATGTGGAGGAGAGAATTATTCAGAAAATACTTGAATATAAAAGCAAGTCAGATGTGGTGGTGGATTTACAGAATATCTACGATAACGTTAAAACAAAAGCCAAAGAAAATAAAGAGTTTTTATCTTTTAAAATAGACGCCGCCAAAAATAAAAATAAACACCGCAATACTGCAAATATAGAAATGACCGCTAACAGCATAGTTAACGAAAGCATAGAAAGAGCTGTAAAAGTTGCTGAAGTAATTATAAAAGAGATTGATACGGAGATAAATGTAAAAAAGGAGGATAAAAAAGTAGGGTAAGGATGTTTCTTCAAAAGTTAACGTAATGCAAAATCATTTGGAAAACGGAGAAATTTTGAGTGAAGCTGAGGATATAAGTGACATTCCTAAATCTGTCCATGAATCCGTACAGATGTACGAAGCGATTGAACATCATTTAGAGACTTTTACAAATAAACAAGACAGACTCGATGATGAAAGAAAGTTGTCCTTAATTCAAGAAATGGCGGAGAGCATTGAAGTTGGTTCAGTTAGAAGGAAATCTGATATCTTTGAAAAGGAATTTGACAAATTGATTTATATTAATAAACAAAAGACAACCAGCGACAAGCAATCAAGTAACGCATCGGCACGGAAAAGAGCATTTATGATAGGATCGAATTTGATAGGACAGATAAAAAGAGTAGCTGAAAAGTCATTCGCGTCCAAAACGCTTTTAAAAATATTTCTTTTGTATTTATCGAACATCATGGTCGTATTTACAAATTCGCTTAAATATGCGAGATCTATAAATGCTGAATTTAATATGGATAAAATATCATCAAAAGGTTATTCCAAACACGACGAAAATATAAAAAATACAACCAAAAGATCTTTCTTGAATGATCATTCTCAAAAAGTTGATGAAGAAAACGTTCTAAGGAGAAGAAAGTTATCAGGATCCGAAATGGCTCAGTTGTCATGTAGGAAACCAGAAGAATTAACGCATAAAATGGACACAGTGATATCAGAGTTTCATTCAAAGCTTAACATAAAAGGTTCACAAAACACTATAAATCGTAGTGATGAAAGATACAAAATTTTCAGTGTCAAAGAACAAGAACAAACGCAAACTATTGACCCCCTGGAGTGGCTAGCTAAAATGGATAAGGAAGAACGCGAGCAAGTGAAGAAGGATATTAGACTTGCAATTTTAACAGCTGCTAGAAGAATAGCAGAACATCGACAATCGGGGAATGTTGATTTCTATAAATATTCCAATGAATCTACTCAACCAATGGACATTCCCACATATATAGCCATTGTTGAGTCACATGTATACACAAATAAAGACGCAATCTTCGACAATTATATTTCAAATTTAAAAACCGAAGGCTCTACGGCCGTTCAATTAGATTACAATAAGTCGGAAGCAGAATATATATTGGCGACGTCTTACAATCTTTCAGATCATTCCAAAGAAAGGATTGATAACACATTGTCGAAAAAGACTGCGTTAGCGGAAGAAGAATTATCCAATTTTAATTCAAGAGTATTGGAAGAATCCAACATAAAAAAAGATACGATATTAAGGACTGAATATGTAGCGACAGTTACAGTTGAACATAAACAAGTACCGCCTATGTCTAATGTAAATGGCCATGAAACTTATTCAGAAACTCAAAAAGACGCATCTGAACAAAATCTTTTAAGTATCGTCACAACCCAAAACTTAACTGTTGATGATTCTAAACATAAAAAAATCGTAATTGAATATAAAGATGAAGAATCTGAAAAAACAAACCTTGAAAAAATTGTCTGTATTGAATCTGCTAAAGTGGCTAAGGATATAGGTGTCTTAAGAATTGGCCAAATATGTGCTATTAAAGAAGACCAAATTGAACCGCTGACAATAACAGAAGTAACAGAAGAAATACCCTCTATTACTTCAGAAGAAGAACTTAATACAGTGCATGCTGTAGGTAGAGAAATTGTAAGGAAGATTAGTGCAGAATTTAACCAGGTAGATGTTATGGAGAAAGAATACCTCAATCTTGAAGAAAATAAACCTGAATCAGTCATAGAAGAAAACAACAAATTAGTCATAGCACTTATAATTAATAAAGCTATAATCCAAGATATAGGGACAGTGTTCGATGAAATTATAATGGAACCCATCGAACACACTCAATCGAAAGAGGAATCAGCTGTCACAATTGAACAAATACAGGAATTGGCAAAGGTTATTCCACTTTTGACGGCTACAGTGACTGATTTGATTACTAGTTTCGTTGTACCTGAATCTATTGTTAATAATTTCTCTTATGAAATAGAGCAGGTAACACTCTTGACAGAAAACACTGAACTGATGACAGCGCAAGCAAAATGTACTGCGGCAATTTATTTCATTCAAAACGATATTGAAAAAACAGAGACTATAATATCCGACGAAATTAACAAAGAAGTAGCACAAACTTGTTTGGAACCAGAAACGTTTTTAATTTCCAAAACCATATGTACAGCTGTGATAGGTAACACTGAGTTAGAAATATGGACAGTCGACGATTTTGAACTTAAACATATAGAAGAGAAAAAGGCAAATATTAATTTAGAAGTGGAAGAATTTGTCAATGCACTAAACGTTTGTACAGCTTCTTATCAGGACATAATCACTCCAATGAATGATGTATCTATCCTCGATATTGTGGAGACTGAATATGAACTGACTACAAGTAGTATAGAAATATCGGTTTTTGTAACAGTTTTTGCAATAGCTATGGCTTTTATTAGTCAAACAAATCTTGCTTTCGAAGAAACAGATGCTATTGAAAGTGAACAGTTTCAAGAAGAGAAACCAAAATGTACTGAAGAAGTTAGAGAGTTTTGTCGCGAATGCGCAATATGTACTGCTTTCAATGAATTAGTAGAATTGATTTTAGAAGAATGTCACACTTTTAATGTTGACAATGTTAAAGAAGAATACAGTTCGTCATGTGTTGAACCGTCAATATTTACAACTGCTTTGCCTGTTAGCACATCTTTTGTAAGGCAAACCAGTGATGTTTATGTTGATGCTCAATTTATAGTAATCGAAAACATTCAAGAACTGACAGCCGAAGTACTTATGGAAAGTGAACATTTTATGACAACACGGCCAATATGCACTGCCGTAGGAGAAATAGTTGACGTTCTAATAGAGGAAAGCAATTTGTTTGACGTAGAAGCGATAAATGAGGAATTAAGTACTGCTACCGTAGAGCCAATAAAGTTTACAAAAATTTTATCAATAGCCACTCATGTCTTGAATCAAACCAATACGATTTATACTGAAACTGAAGAATTAAATATTGAAACATTCCTAGAAGAAACAGCAAATATATGCGAAGAAATTAGTGAATTTAAAACTGCACAGGCAATTTGCATAGGCGAATGTCAAACCATTTTTATTGACTTAGAGGAAAGTAACTTATTTGAAGTTACTCAAATTCGGGAACAAAAAGCTTTAGAACGATTGGAGCCGAAGGTATATAAAAAAGCATTTTCAGTTTGTACAGAAACGGCACTGGAATTGGACTCGGTTTTCATAGAAATTGCATTTAGAGAACCTGAAATATTGAACAAAGAATGCGCTTCTTCTAGTTTAGAAGTTAAAGATTTCTTAAGAGTTCCAGCCCTATGTCAGGCTATGGCAGAACAAATCACCTCAATTTTTGGCGAGGCGGGACAGTTTTCTGTTTCCTATGATGAAAATGTTCAAAATATAAGTGCTGCATATAAGACTGTTGAAACTCAATGTATTGAGAAAGTAAACATTGCACGCGAAGAAATTATTACTTCATCTGAATCACAGCAATTGGATACATCACTCATAGTTAGAGAAGCGGTAGTAAAAGACAGTATTTTATCACTAGAATGGGAAGACAGTAAAACACTGGACATAAATAAGGTTGATTATCAACACGTCGATACAGTTGAAGAGAGTAAGTGCTTAGAATCAATTGATGCTATAAAACAAGCTAATGTACTCATCAAACAAAAAGAATCTGATCAGCAAAAATCAAAGGAAGTTACGAAAAGACAATCGAAATTATCATTCATTAAAGGTGAAGAAGCAGCTGGCAATATTTCAATTCATAAAAAGACCGAAGTAAGTGCAGCAAATTCTTATCAAGAATTGGCCTATGAGTTTTCTTTGTCGAAAACTAGTGAAGAAAAAACTTCCAGGTCAATACAGGAGTCCTTTTATTTAAATCAAAGATCAAAACAGTCATACTCACAAGAAGAGTTCCGAAGACAATCAATAGAGATTGAACAAGATTTGGAAGAGGACAGTCACGTTGTTATTAAAGAAGTAACCGATGAAGGTGAAACCAATGATGAGTCATCTGCAGTGCCAATGGTCCAGGAGGAAATCGATATTGACACAAGACGATCTTCGCGTGAACTTGATCTGCAAACCGTGGAAGTCCAAGAAATTATAGAAAAATTAGAAGACGTTGCCCCTATGGAGGATTATAAGAATTCGGAAAAAGTTAAAGCAGCCATCGATGAATGTGCTACGCTCACAATTGCCAAAAAGGAAGAAATTGAAATTGCTTACCCCGTGTTGGAAATTTACGAAGAGGAATCAGCTGAGATGACAAATATTGCCGCTCAGTCCTCTGCTAATACATTATCAAGACATTCAGACATTCAAACACTTGATGAGATGGAAATTGAACAGCAACTAGCACTGTCAAGTACAATGGAGTCGCAACTAAAGTGCAAGACTGAACAAGTATCAGCCGTCATTAGATCAGAAAACACAGAAAGCAAAAAAGTAAAATCAATTAAAACCCGTTCACGTGTTGACACACTAGAGAGTTTTAGATTAGCGGAATCAGCTGCAACAATTTCTCAGAAACTCATATCAGAAGAACTTAGTGGTCAGTCAAGTGAAATCGTTTTAAAAACGGTCAATACACATGGGCACATGGGAGAAAAAGACAGTAGAAACGTTGAAAGTAGCATCGAAATACAGTCACCTACCACGCCTCCTACACCCTTAACGGATGAATACGTCTTTAGGCTTGTAGCACCGTTACCTAAGAGTAGGGGTTCCACACCTAATCCAATAGAACCAGAACCGGAATCTTCAGAATCCTATCGTGATGATGAGCATATGGCTAAGAAAAATCTAACACCAGCTGTAGAGTCCGAAACATGTGAAAGAGTCCTCTACAATCCATCATTACCCACCCCATCTACAAGTCCCGTGCACTCGCCGGTATACACTAAGCCAGGGTTAAACGGTGGCATGAAGCGATTGCCACGTTATATCAAGCCCGGCTTGAGAGGAGGTTCCGACAGAACTTTGATCACTGAGGTAAGACACACTTTATGGTGGTAGGGCCACGCAGCAGTTTCGGCTGTTGCACGAATGGGCAGGCCCGTCCGGGTAAGTACCACAACCTCACAGCAGACCAGCGTAAGTGGAAGTATGACAAATACTTTCGCGTTTCGTCTGGTGAGTGAGGTAGCCGGAGCCCAATTTTGAAATGGTTGTCAATGCATCTGTAACCCTCGCGTGTGGCAGATGTCCATGGGCGGCGGTATTCACTTAACATCAGGTGAACGTGCTCGTTTGACAACTTATCGAATAAAAAAAAAAAAAAAAGAAAATGATAATACTCGTATTTCCATTGTACGATTTTTATTTCTTTAACGTCTCGTTTATATCATAATGAGTTACAACATTATTTGATATAATTTTTTGTTGATTTTTTTTTGTTTACTTATATTAGTTCTTTGTGATATAATATATGTATGTATAACAGTGCTATTGTGATTATCTACTCGTTTTGAATATTTAAGTAATTTCTTAATTTTAAGTTGCCTTAGTCCCTGCTTCATCACACATATTTATTTCTTTTTATTACTAATTATGTGCTATGTAACTTAAGCATTCATAAAAAGAAATGTTACTATACAGAAAGAACGTGCTTAGAGAGAAAAAATCGCGAGGAAACCTTCATATTAAAGAGTTAACGAAAAATACCAAATAAATTCTAAGCCGGACTACGCAACCTTTTTTTTCGTGAATAGCATACTGAAATAATGTTCTCAATATTGAATTGAAACTAATCGAATGATGCTTATATGTTGAATTCCATCAAATATTAATTAATTATATAAATCAGAACTATGTTTATTTATTTCATTTTATAACATATTGGAATAGGCTAAAACAACGAAAGCACTTCGCTTTGCAGGAGGAAATTTTAGAGGTGCAAAGGAGATCGTCGATTCTCACGTCAGCCATTACTGAGACTTTAAGAAACATCGAGAGGTATAAAAAAGAAGTTGGAATTTTAAAGGAAACAGTTGCCGCAGAAAACCAACCGGACGCTGGTATGGAGTCGGATGAAACACTTAGAAATGATGAAAAGGACATTAAGGAGTCAGAAAGGATACAATCTAATAACGAAGTAAAAGAAAACATCACTCTTGAACTACAAAAACCAGATCAACAGATCTTAACAACAGAAGTAACAGGCGATGGGAAACCTAACCCCGATGGATCGGTTGCTATCGATATAAACGTACGAAATGCAGACGAACCATACGACACGTATTCAGATGCTTTCGAAGAGGTCACTTTATTTGAAGACATTGTAACAGACAAAAGGCGCGATCACTCGGAAACCATCGAGGAGTGTTTCGACGTAACGGAAAGCGAGGCTCAAATAACAGAAGGTGTTGTTGAGTTCCCTAAAGAAATAGCTGACGGTCAACAAACTGAAAGTGATCTGGCTGAGGTATATTCAGCTAATACTCAGCAAAACAAACACATGAAAAATGAAGAAGGGCTCTTAGTTAAGGTACACATAACTTATAACTATATCTTTTACTAGCCTATAACCGCGAATTTATTTGCTTTTAACAGCTTTGGTTCTAATTTATCTAGGAAAATATTCCGTTTCTCTTACACTACATTCTTTGTAAAGAAAACAACATCATTGAGGCGATTCTAATTGATTAAGGAGATTCTTTTTGTAGTGTGATCGGCCCACGTGGCAGCTCCCGTTGCACGAATGGGCAGGCTCGTCTGGGGGAGTAGCACGCTCTCACAGGTAATCGGCGTGTGGTATTAAACTGTGGCGTTTCGTCTGGTGAGCGGGATAACCGGGTCCAACTTTTAATGGTTGTCAACGCATTTTCAATCCGTCATGTGCGGTAGACCTCTAACACTTAACATCAGGTGAATCGCCCGCTCGTTTGCCATCTTTACACATAAAAAAAAATAATAAATTGCGCGTGCAACATTCAGAGGATTTTCGATCATACAAGACAGCGGCTGAAACATAAATGCTATTGAAATTTAAAAGCTTGAGCTCGGCGAGCTTGGTCGTGTCGGTAGATGGGTTCTTTCCTTTTACCAAAACTGCTAAACCATTTGCAAACTATTCCAGGATGTATCAAGAGCTGAGGAAGAAGTCTACGGGACGCCCGACGAGGAGCCAGCAGCAATTAGCGAGACAGGAAACGGGAATTTGGATGAAGCAGCCGATCTAGAAGTAGCTAGTAAGGTTCAACATCCATAAGAGTCTTATATCTATACAAATATGAAATACATCTAAAAAAAAGTTTTGGCGTTGATACACATCACCGTTCTTGCATACATCGTTGACGACTTCGATAATCTTTCAACAATTTATTGATTTATATTTGCTTTATTGAAAACAAATTTTACATTCGCAAGGTTGAACTTCAAGATGTATCATATCTGATGAAACTTCATGGCTTCAAGCCATCGAATACGCGGAGACACATCAAGAAAAATGTATCATATCTACACGTACGTAATTAAGTTACTGAGAGACTGAAACTAAAAGTCATCGGCTTCATGGGGTTTAAATTGCCATTTTCGAAAAGTAAACGCGACGGGCCACCTGACACAATAGACCATTCTATTTAACCCGAGGGTTAACGTTGACAAAAAATACCTCACTCACCAGACGAAACGCGACAGTATTTGTCATACCTCCACTTTACGCTGGTCTTCTGTAAGGTCGTGGTACCTACCCGGACGGGCCTGCCCATTTGAGCAACAGCCGAGGCTGCTACGTGGCCTAGAAGCAGAAAGTATTTATTGGTGTTATTAGTGTAAAATTTTAACGTGTTGGACCACACGACCGTAGTTCACATGGCGTTTAAAATTTTAACAATGTTGAACCACACAACCGCAGTTCAACATACACGCTTTTACTTATACGGAATACGAGAAAACCTTTCCAATTTCGATGCCAGCAATAAAAAGAATTTAAATGCAACTGCTCACAACTGGAGGGAACCTTATTTATAACTATAAAAATAGCTCAAAATTCCATGAATAATCTAATATAATATCCATTTTTTTCGTGGACACCATATTGAATGTGACATTTCTCCAATAAAAAGAATCAACTGACGTTTATATGCTCAATTCCATGAAAAGGTTCAAAAGAACTCTGCCAAAGAATTATACAAACATACATACAATGGAAAACCAATATGCTCATTCGGAAGTCGGGTAACAAAATGTCCTGAAATATTTATTAGTTACTAGCTGTGCCCGCGACTTCGTCAGCGTGGAAAAAAAAATCTAAAACAAAAGTAGCCTGAGTTACTCCTTATTACATCAGCTATCTACCAGTGAAAGTCCCGTCCAAAACGGGCCAGCCGTTTCAGAGAGTAACCGAAACAAACAGACAGACAGTATATGTACCGTGTATCCATCCATATGCATTTGGTAAAGAATGGTTATTTTAATATTACAAACGGACACTCCAATTTTATTAATCTGTATAGATTTAAATAATTGCATTTATTGCGGTTCTTTTCAATTGCAGAAGTTACAGCGTTGGGTGCGAGCACAGATGGCAATGCATCCAAAGGGAGCCCAGCGTTAACGCCGAAAGATACTGACCTTCTTAAGGAGGCTCACGTGATTAGGTGAATGTCTCTTTCTTACTTTGGTACTGGAACTTCATCATCATCAGCATTTCACCCAATTCTAGTGCACAGATGAAAATAGGCCTCCCCATAGACTGCCACGATGGGTGTTCTGGAGCCACCTGCATCCATTGACTTCTCGCACATTAGCACAGGCCGTACCAGGCACTCGATTTTACAGTTCCGTACCCAAAGGGTAAAACGGGACCCTATTACTAAGACTCCGCTGTTCGTCCGTCTGTCACCAGGCTTATCTCATGAACCGCGATAGTTATCATTCAACTGTCTAACTATGACGGTCCATGAGATACAGAGTGATACGGACAGTCAGCGGAGTCTTAGTAATAGGGTCACGTTTTAACCTTTGGGTACGGAACCCTAAAAAGAATTTGAGAATGGGTCCACAAATGGGGTAGAAATCCGTGAACATACATAAAAAATATATATACAGTCGAACATAGAACCTCCTTCTTTTTCGAAGTTGGTTAATAAATAAATTAAACTTTTTTAGTTAAAAGTATTAAACTGTGGCCACGCAACAGCCTCAACTGTTGGCACGAATGAGCAGGCTCGTCCGGGTAAGTACCACGACCTCACAGAAAACCGTCGAGAAGTGGAAATATAATACTTTTAAATTTCCAAAAAGGTTGTCAACGCATCTGCAAACCCTGGGGTGTAGCAGATGTCCATGGGCGGCGGTATTCACTTAACATCAGGTGAACTACCTGCTGGCTTAAAAACTTTTCACATAAAAAAAAATTATTTCCTTTCCAACAGCCTCACCAGGGTACTATCGGCGCATATGCTGCGCGAAGAGCTCAGCCCAGATCGGCAGAAGATCGACAGTGAGAAGAACCAGGAAGAGCGAGGGAAGAAGGAGGGAAGCGGGGAGGAGAAGGTGAGGTCTTGGACGACCTTCTTGCAGAAGTCGACGCACCCCGTTCCTGGGCAGAAGCTGGACCACTTCGCGGATCTGCAGAACAAGTTCGAAGCGAAGGTAGGTCTATCGCTTCGTATATACAACCTTCAGGCCTACTGCAAACAAATTTGACTCGAATTCTTGGCAGTTCGTGCCACTGAATCTGACGCCAGCGCCTGCCTAGTGGTTGCTCTAATTGGAACTAACTGAGATCGGATAATTTTTCGAAAATTAAGCAATTAAAATTTTATCTCAGAAAGGTTATAACAGTAAACGTGGAATATTATATTGTCAGTGAAGTAATAGTTCGTAAGTTTCTCAAATCGGGTTCGAATCAAGAGTGAGTTCGGATAGTTGTTTAACTTTTCCCTTGCCGCTGAATACGTGACAAGTCAGCACTCAAAATTGCAACCAATGAACAACATACAAACAAAACGGTTTTAGCGGTGGTACGGCCACGCAACAGTGGTCGCTGTTGCACGAATGGGCGGGTCCGTCCGGGTTAGCACCACGACCTCACAGAAGACGGGCGTAAAGTAGAAGTGTTGCACTTCTGCGTTTCGTCTGGCGAGTGAGGTGGCCGGGGCCCACATTATTAAGAGGTGGCAGCGCATCTGCTACCCTACGGGTGTTGCAAATGTCCATGGGCAGGCGGTTATCACTTAACATCAGGTGAACGGACAGCTCGTTTGCCACTTTCTCACATTAAAAAGAAAAATGTTAGATATGGCACTAGCCTAGCGCACCGAAACTGAGGCGCTCAAATAACGCCAATTGGTGTAATTAGATTGTATATCTATGGACTGCTATCTCTATATCACCTGTCAGTAACATTTTTACATATTTAATTCTACTGTGCGTGTGTATGTCACTGAACCCCGCATATACGGCCGGACCGATTTTAATGAATTTTTTTGTGTGACTTCAAGTCGATTCGAGAATGGTTTGGATTCTCAATTCGTTTTTGTTTTTTGTTTTTTTTTTTTTATTTTTATAAGTTGTTGTCGGACTTAAGTCACGTGTACCGTCTTTTGGGTCAGCTAGTATAAAATATTGTTTATGTTTATTAGATATAGTGTTTATGTATAAACTTTTCTACACCGATGAGCACGTGATACATCATCACCCAAAATTGCTACTAACAATTTTACACGAATGTTGTTGGATCGTCAAAATACAAAAAAAAATAGCTTCTGTATTTGAAGATTGATGGGAGTTTGTTCCTATCAAAATTATTACAGTGAAGTAAATCATGATACAGTATAAGAAATTTATATTATCTTCAATTCAGTTCACTACCTTCTTGGTCTTTGTCACTGGTTCATGTTATAGTCTGATTATATTTTATGCTTTCTCATTATTCAGCAGCGTCAATTCTTCTTTGCTACAGGAACTTTTCGCCGGGAAGACCGATGTGAGAATAGCCTCAGAGATGAAATCCAAGGTAACAGTGGTAGGGCCTTGCAGCAGTGTTCGCTGTTGCACAAATGGGCAGGCTCATCCGGGGAATCACCGTGGCCTTAAAGAAGACCACTTTATTAGTTGGCAACGCATCTGCAACCCGTATGTTGTATATGTCGATAGGCAATCAGTCCGCCTCCTCGCTTTCCAACTTTTTACATTACAAATATATATACTTCTTAGTGTGGCAATCGCTTTATATTTTTTGGGTGGCCCCTCTAATGTTATGTTATTACCACCGCCCGCGGGCATTCGGTGCAACTAAGAGACACTACGTGACTCACTCGAGAAATGAAAAGTATTAAGAGATCTAATTCACGTTAAAAAAAATCCGAAGACTTTTTACTTAGTATCCGAATAATAATTTTGATGTTTTAATGGAAAAAGTTTATTATGTAATTTAATATCAATTTGGCATAAACATGCTGAATTCAGCTGAATATGTTGCATCAATTAATGATAATTTAGTTCACAATATATTACCATATTCTGGCAATAAAGACATTCATTTCATTCATTCATTCATTCATACTTCTCCAGAAGAGGATAGACCACTTTAATGCAAGCCCAGAGGTTCATACCTCATGTATTTTATTCATCAAAAACTGACATTGGTTATTTTTTTATTATTATCCCTTTTAATTAAAAATCTTCCGTCCAGGATTCGAGTCCGGTTCCTTGGCAAGAGAGGGCGCTAGCGGACACTCTGGGTGCACCAAGCGCTTGTAGGGTCGAAGAGCCGGTGCTGATCCCAGCCGATCCACCCGAGTTCCTGGTGGCGATTCCTTCGGGTTCCACTCCTAGTGCTGACTTGGAAGGTGCGTGTAATTATCTGCCTCTTAAACATATCCAACCTTTCGATTTAGTGATCGGAAAATCTAAAATTATGAGTCTACCTCAGTTCCAAAGATCATAGCTATTCGATTCTCCACCCTGGCCTATATGCACACAAATTTTCACGAAAATCGGTCAAGCCGTTTCGGAGGAGTTCAATTACAAACACCGTGACACGAGAATTTTATATATTAGATAATACGGAACCTCTCGTGCGCGAGTCCGACTCGCATTTGGCCGGTTTTTTTAAATGGTGACTATTTTTAAAATACTGTGATTGTGCCACGCAGTTGCTTGCACCAATGTACTGCTGTGGAAGTATTATACTTTCCCGTTCTGAGTCAAGTAACTGGGGCCCATACTTTTAAAAGTTGCTATTACATTTTGATCTAGACGTAAACAACTATGTTAATAAATTTCGTTAGGGAAGAGACAAGCAAGAATCATTCTTTAAACCGCTTCATAAGGAAAAAAACAATCACTAATGAAGGAGAGAGTAATTTGAAAAGGAAAGTAACTTCTTTTCAGTTTCGACACCAACCACAATCCAACACGGCGTGCCAAGGATAGAGATTGAACAGACAGAGATAGAAGATAGGGGTGCTATTGAAGTCGGCGTGGACAAAATAGTCGAGGAGGCGCTGAGAGTTGCGGAGAGTTTAGAAACGGGGGAGAAGGACAGACTGGTCCAGCTTTTATCAACAAACATCAAAAGCAGATCTGGTAAGAGCTTTTTCTGATTGCGGGGATGAGATTCTGATGCTTGGTACTGAGGTCGCGATAGCTCCAACTCCTGCACAAATAGACGACCTTGAGAGGGTCGACTCTTTTCTCGCGGAAGATTTTAACGAAGTAGAAATATTTAGGCTTTTGCATTTCGCCCGGTTAGTGAAATGCACAGTAACAATCAAAACATACCTGATTCGATGGCTTCCTCCATTGATAAGATTATACATGATGATAACTACGATTTGAATTTGTGTACTAAATAATAGTTGATATTTCATTGACGCAGCTTAAGTTTTACTATCGGTGCACCGCTAAAAAGGGCCCTCAGTTGAAGTTTCTAAGTCCTTGTCTTCGGCGTCGTGGGTGTGGGTTCGATTGCCACGCGGAACAACTTTTTGTGTGACACGGATAATTATTCCGGATCTGGGTGTTTTTCCCCGAGGACGGTTGACGTCAATAGCACACACCACATGATCCAGAAGTGCCGAAGCGACCTAGGTGGTGTAATGACAGTGCGATGATGATGATTTGCATGCTGTTAAAAACAGCTAAATAGTTAAGTTAGCTTGACATTTGTGACGACAACAAGATAACAAGACCAAAAAATTTATGCACCTATTTACTAAGGCCGGCAACGCATTTGTTCGAGTGGAGCAGGTGTTCATGGGCCGCGGTGATCACTTACCATCAGGTGAGCCTCCTGCTCGTTTGCCCATTTTCTCCATAAAATAAAACTAGCAAAGAAAGAAACTTGAAACTTGATGACACCAGCTCCACCAAGATATTGCAGATGTTGTAGATGCTATATTTACCTAAGCACGTAGGTACCTATAAGACGAAACGAAGGATTATGACACCTTGTTGTAGTTGTAGTGCAGATGTTGTAGTTGCGTTGGTTACTGTGGTAGGACCATGCAACAGTGTTCACTATTGCACGAACGGGCAGCTCCGTCCGGGTAAGTACCACGACCTCACAGAAGCCCGGCGTGAAGTGGAAGTTTTACACTTAGTTACGTCTGGTGAGTGAGGTACTTGGGGCCCACTTAATTTAAAGGTGGCAACGCATTTACAATCCTACGGGTGTTGCAAATTTCTATGAGCGGTGGTATCACTTAACATCAGGTGAATCGCCGGCTCGTCTGCCACTTTCTCCCTTTATAGAAAAACCTAAGTGTCTACAGGACGAAACGCGAGAAAACACTCCTGCTCCACTGGTTATCAATGGAATCTGTCCGTCACCAGATTCCAATCTCCCGGTGGAGGAGCAACTGAGCGAGATGAGGAGTCAGCTGGATACGCTTGCGCAGGTCCCGGAGATTATCAGGCGAGCCCTGGAGAACCTTTCCGTGCAGTTGAGCGTGATTAGTCATCGGGTGAGTGATCAGATTTTACGTAGATAGTTGGACCTAGAAAACTCAAGCTGCATTTTTTTTTATGTGACAACTAGCGACCCGCCCCGGCTTCGCACATGCGCTGAATGTTTGTTTTCGACATCGCATTACAGACCTCTAAAATTATCAGTGTCTCTCTACTATTTTATGCATGAATTATACATGTAAACCTTCCTTTTGAATCACTCTATTATCTATTAAAGAAAACCGCATCAAAATCCGTTGGGTAGTTTTAGTTTGAAGCATATACAGGGGCAAACAGAGAGCGGGCCGACTTTGTTTTATACTATGTAGTGTTGCACAAGCAACCTGCGTCAGATGAAGCTTTAATAGTCTCGGGACTGAAAGCAAAAACATCAGTTAATACAAGATACAAGCAACCTGAGTTCAATTCCCGGTGACGTCAATGAAGTTGTTAATTTTACGTACCGACGTATCATGTGCTCAGCGATAAAGGATTTTTTATTCGACTTATTTTTCTATATCGTTAGTTCATCGTATGTTCATGAACAATTTACAAATATCAATATGATTTCGTTATTAAATTATAGAAACTTTCGTGAGGCGTTATAAGCTATGTAATTGAAACGGCTAAACACACGTCCATCGTTATTTTTTTGTTCTCTTATTATTTTGTCATTTGTTTTTGTAAATGCTGTTTGTATACGATTAATAAAGATTTTTCTATTCTATTCTATTCTATTCTAATCGATGCAGGAAGGTATCAAGAGATCCTTCAAGGTAGTCTTGTGCGAGATAGTACCTGTTACGTCTGTACCTGCTACGCCTGTACCTGTTACTTAACCGTAACAGTGACAAATACCTGTTACCAAATAACAACCTGTTATTTCATTATATTTTATGTTGTGACAATTTGTGTAACTGTTACCATTGTGTAACATAAACAGCTGTTTTTGTTAGTTGTTTATGTGTGTACTTCGTTTGTCCGAAACCGAAACAAAGATAGATTTGGTTTTCAATTCAGATATAATTATGAAGATATTTTTGGAGTGTGAAATGTCAAGAAAATTGTATGGAATTAAGTAAAAAGTAAGAAGTGTAAATTTTGTCTAGCTCCAAAACTTTATATAACAGAAAGTAGGTGCACTTTCAGAATCTCTGTATAAAGGAGGCTTTTTCTCAGCAGTGGAACATAATGTACACTTATAAGATATTCATCGCCTGTATAAAAATATATAAGTACAGACTGTTTATTCTCTAAGCAGTAGTTACTTACTAAGTGTTGAATCGAATCTATCTAATAATGATTGAATTTTTGACTTCAAAAAGCTGCAATGGAATTCAAATATCATTATTTAACATTCTTCCATTTTAATTTGTTACTTTAAAATTGATTTGCTAATCTGTGAGACGATTCAAAGCTAGGCCGATATAATATAGCCTAAAATATTGCCCAAACTGTACGACGAAAGAAATATTAAATAGATTTTATTTATACCATTCAAAGCTGCAACAATCTCATTACACCAAAGTGTGGTAGGAATCTTTATAAATTCTGTTGCAGTTTCACACAGCGGCCTGTGGCAGTTAAAAACACAACTTATTGGAAATTATGCGCATAAAACAACTACCTAGTGATGCCGCCTGCGTTACACTCACTTGTTTTTTAGGGTTCCGTATCCAAAGGGTAAAACGGTAAAACTGTCTGTCTGTCCATCTGTCACCAAAGCTGTATCTCATGAACTGTGATAAACAGCTGAAATTTTCACACGTGATGCGTTTCCGATGCCGCTATGACACAAATACTAAAACAACGGAATAAAAACTATCTAAGTGGGGCTCCCGTACAACGTATTTCTTTGTCGTTTTTAACCGACTACAAAGAAGGAGGAGGTTTCTCAATTCGACCGTATATATCTTTATTTATTTTATGTGTGTTCGTGGATAACTTCGTCGTTTATGAACCGATTTTGATGATTCTTTTTGGCGGAAAGGAGATACCCAAGGGTGGTACCATGATAAGGAAACCCGGATCTGATGATGGCATCGAGGATGAGGATGAGAAATCGAGGGCCATCATTGAATGTTATAGGTATTAAAAGTGTTTTTAATTTTGTGATTGAAGGTTTTTGTTTGTTAAAAATTATTATAGACAATGGTACGGAACCCCTCGTGCGCGAGACCGACTCGCGCTTGGCTGGTTTTTTCCACTCCGCATTCGCTATTACGAATTCGATCGCTGGCATGCTGGCAATGTTGCAACTGACCTTGGCAGCAGATCAACGCGGAGAGTAACGTCCCAGACATTTGGCATTATCGTGAAGCTATCAGTCGATTCGTGAATTCGCCGCGGGGAGCGTTTAACTGACGCGTAAGTAATCTCTAGAAGTTACTGGAACGTTGGTGGAAAGCACGCCGTTGATCCTTAAAGGCTTTTATTTCTTTTTATAAATTTTTGGTTTGGTTTCGCTGTCACCACGCACTGCCGTAAATCGTATATGGAAACGTTTTAAAGTGGTTTCTCACGATAAAAACATCTTGCATCTGCATTCCAAATGTACTGTTAATTTGATAATTGGAAATAATTATATATTCAAGTGTATATTTATACCTTGCACTTTAATAAACTTTATTATTATTACTAGCAGACCGGACAGACGTCCTGTACGCGTGACTTAAATCCGACAACTTAAAAAAAAATAAAAAATTGTGAACCCAGACCATTCTCGAATCGACCTGAAGACGCACATAAAATTACATTAAAATCGGTCCAGCCGTTTAGGAGTACAGTGACATACACACGTACAGAAGAATTATATGTATACCGATATAAAGAGTATTATTTTAAGGTAACGAAGTTGATTTTTACGCGATAAAGTGCCAAACGAGTACACTTGATGCGCGTTTCACGCGGAACTAAGGGGTCGTACATTAATAACGTGAAGTAATATCACAATGGGGGGGGGGGGGTCAGTAAGATATTATATATATATATATATATATATATATATATATATATATATATATACTATAGGAACTAAGGGGTCGTACATTAATAACGTGAAGTAATATCACAATGGGGGAGGGTTCAGTAAGATATGTATATATATTTTCGTGGAACGAGCAATCTCTAAGCTGAAAAGCGGCGTGACCTTGACTCACCGTTACATTTTCATCATGGTCCTTAAATTAAGAATAAAAAATATTATGGTATTAATAGGTATTTAAAGATAATGTTCTAAAAATTTTTAGATTCTTTGTAGGTATTTAAAATACACGTGCTTTTGGGTGGGGGTGGGGGCGGGTGGATTAACCCGCACTACGTATCAACAAGGGGGAGGAGGGGGCTTAAAATGCTAAAACATCACGGCCCCTGAGACATCTGCGTCGCCAGTGGGATTGTGTAGCCAACTTTCGAAAGGCGACCCCCGGCTACCTCAGTCCAGACGAAACGCATGAACAGGGCTGGATTTAGATGTCTGGAGGCCTCGGGGCAACAAAGAAGTGGAGGCCCTCTTGGCCACAAATTATTTTCCTTTGATTTCTGTAAATATTTAATATAATCATGTTTATAATGTGGGTAAAGATAAAAGGTATAAAAGTTGTTTACTAGTGTTTACTAGTCTGATTTCTATTTGTGTTTTCCAAAGTCTCTATTGTGGAGGCCCCCTCTTGTGGAGGACCCGGAGCAGTAGCCCCGGTTGCCCTCCCCTAAATTCCCTGCCCTGCGCAAGAGTAAAGATATTACATTACATTGTTATATCTTTTCCAGCATACAAACGATTTCGAATATCGTTTTACAACGAAAATTCGGACGAGAGATGCCATTGCTTTTTACAAGTTTTATTTTTTCCATAATGCTAATCTCTGCACTTAAGATTAAACATTAAATTCTCGAACCCATGTTGTGGCTGGAGCGTCATGGCAATCCCGAAGACGTGGGTTCGATTCCCACAGCGGCGACAAAGTTTTCGTTGCTTTTTCTACACAAAAAATTTAATAAGAGTATTACATTTCCATTTCACGTCGGCCTTTTGTCAGGCAGCGGTCCATCGCATATTCGCATAATAGCAGTAATTTTTTTCTTACCGCAGTGATATTGATAAGAGAATTTACTTTAGAAATATTAGAACACTAAATTTAGACAATTTACACGTAATATGTTAATAACAGGCTAAATGAGCGCCATCTCAATTATAGGTGCAAACCACAATGTTCTAAACTTAAGAACACCAAACCTAAAACTTTTGTGAGAAACAAAAAACACTAAATAAAAAGATAAAAACTCGGCGAAGTTTGCAGCATCAATATTAACAAAAAAAAAGTAAATCCAAAAAAGTTATCAAAAAGTTTAAAAAAATCTGAGGAAGAAAAAATAAACGTAAATATAACGACATACAATAGTAATTCCACATTTTACAAATTTATATCTTTCACACCATTAAAATGGCAAGAAGAAATTCTATACCATAGTATAAAAAATCAATTCCTACGACGCCTAATTAATAAAATACCCAATCGTATATAACATCATAAACAGTAATGCATTCAATGATTCACTCCACGCATTTTTACCTCTCCCGTTTTCTGTTTTGTCGCATAATGTTGTTTTACCTTGAGGTATAGAATTGGTAAAACGCCTGGCGGCGAAACGCCGAAAGTTTTGTACATTCATCTACGAAAATTTACAATTTACAACTATTACCCTTACTGTTGTATGACATTAGCCTGTGTTGTAAGGGCGTGTCACATACATACATGTCATGTGGACAACAATTATCTGTGGGTCTGGTACCGAAGCCAATACCTCGGAAACTGAGCCACGGGGTCATCGAACAATGGTTTATTAGAATCCAAAACTTGGCGTAATGCATGTATTGTTTCAGAGGAAGGAAGAAAGCGTTGTCCATACTGAGGGTGTTACCCAAACAAAACCAACTCAAGGTGAGGCTTTTCCCATCGAGGTTAATGTCACCGAATCTTGCCATTTTACTGTGGTTTATTAGATCATAGACAGCTTTCATTTGTCAAGAATCAATACTCGAAAGAATTTATGCGGATAAGCCCAGATTGAGATCGTAAAAAGTGGTAACTAAGAACATATTACGTCCTTAGCTATGAAGATACGAGCTTTTATTAAATATATCAGATATTTTAATCATCTCAAAGTCTGTGTCCCTTTTTCTACCTTTGAAATTGAACTTCTTCTTTTTATTTAATCGAAATCTTTGATGTTATACTTCTTTCGGCACGATAAAATTAATTTTTATTATTTTCTTCCTTGTAATTAACTATAATCTCTTACGTACATACACGCGTTTTTTTTCTATCCTTCTTTTTCATAATCAGCTCAAAATTTGGCTTGTTCTCTCGCCATCCCAGTTTATTGTACCTTTTATTAATACTATTAATTTTCTTGTAATAATATATTTAGAAAATGTGTTTGCAAATGGTAACTTTGACGAATAACAATATAATATCAATCTATATCATTCAGCGCCGATCCAAGATAGAAATAAAGGAACGGAAGGAGTTCCGAGAGAAGAAATACCACAGCCACAGATTAAAAACGAAGTTGACCAGCAAGCGGATAGAGTTGCAGATAAAATGCCAGCGGAGACAAGAGGCGCTTTGACAGTGACAGACAGTAAGGACCAAAATGTAAGTAAGCATTTTGTATTACGCTAGCGGACCCGATAGCCGTTGTCCTGTACACACGACTTAAATCCGACAACTTAAAAAAATAATTGTGAACCAAACCATTCTCGAAGCGACCCGAAGACACACAAAAAATTGGTTCATTAAAATTGGTCCAGCCGTTTAGGAGGATTTCAGTGACATACACACGTAAGTGCAGAAGGATTATATATATAAAGATAGTATATATATAGCACCTAGCGGCGTCTGTGGCTCCACCGATCACCACGTTTCGGCCGCGGAGAGTAGGGACGGCGTACTGCAATACCGACACTACTGCCCACCACTACTACATCAGCGGTGATGGCCCGCCAAGTCGCGGAGGATAGGGTTGACAAACACAATACCGACACTCCTCTTTCACCGCGACTCCACTTCGGTTGCAGAAGACAAGGGGAGCGGCTCGCCGTCTACCATCCTCAACCGGGGTAGGATGGGCACGGGTAGGCACCCTCACAGCACTCGGAGCAGCCGAGAGGGCTCATTGAGTCCACTCGGGCCGGCCTTACATAATTGGCCGCTCAGTATGGTTTCCTCTTGGCTTCACCCTGACCAAGCCACGGTTACTAAGCCCCTACGCCACGACAAAGCGGGAACCTGGTCGGTGGTTAGGATGTGAAACAACTCAGACTGTCCCATTATCATAAAAGTAACTGTTTACATAAAACGCCATAATATTCTTTTATAATTACTATGTGTGTAGAGAGGCTAAAAAGGTAGTGTGATTAGTCAGTGTAAAAGAAGGAAGAATGAGAAAAATGAACACATTATGCCAGCCTTATCTGCTAGCGGTGCCTGTCCGTAACTGGTTTCACAAGTGGGCGTTTCGGAAGCCCGTCGAATTCGTTGTGTCCAATGCAGCAAGCCAGGACCGCGCCCCATCAGCCCCGCGCGAAGCCCGAGCCGAAATTCGGGAGGCTCCACCCCGACACGGGGGAGCTCATCCTGCCGGGTGGCAGGCGCTGGAGGAGGTTCCGCAACGAGTATGACGAGGAGTCGATCGCGGAGACAATCCTCGCCCAATCCGAGATCATTCAGGGGAGAGCCCTCGGGTACATTGTGATGATTAACAGCATCTACTTAATATTTTCTACCTTTTAGTGTCGAATAATTTACGTGGAGTCATCACATTTCTTGTTAGATTTGGTGAGAGCATGGGCATCTTGATTATCTGTTGACTTCAGTGTTGTATGTGGTAGTAACTAGATGGCGCTCATATCGGTAATGAAATAGACTATATAATTAGCGGTCGTCTCAACCGGCGTTCTAAAGATGCCGGTTATAATGCAAACAGCGTATAGCTCTTCGGTCTGGACATTATAAATTGTTTACGAAACTTATAAAATTATTCCTTAGTCTTTGCTTTTGAACGATCTGTTTACGGTTTTAACCGGTTTACTTGTGGGAAAAGTTTTCGGTTAGCCGAATGCCATGATCCGCTTCACAGCACTTGGCAAGTAAGTTCCTATAGTTATTAATAACAAAATTATCCCAGAACAACACTACACAGTGTTGCAGAGGTAAAAAAGGGAACAAATATCAAGATTCCAAATAATGATTTGTTCATCCCGCATCAGAATCGAATCCACGATCCGAAGTGCTGGACTCTTAACAACTGTGCAATCCGATACTTCGTATTTATATTACTTTTTTGACTTCACTAACATGCTATGTTTTCTTGTCTGTTTGCATGCTTGTGCGCGGTGCAGGCCCAAAAAGGGGTCAAGGCTTGGCCTTGGAGCCCTTCAGTTTGTCGAATGTATAGGTGGGTATAGAAAAGATTTTCTCCTAGTCTATGGCTCAGCGACGTCCTCCTAGTGTTGCTACGTACGGTCGGACAATGCTAGCTTAAAAAAACTTCAGTGAAACTTAGAAGTATTCTATAAATAATTGGATTTTATTATTTTTTATTGAATTTTATTAATAAAATTTTCATGAGTTTTTTTGTATGATAAGATGGTACACGAGCAGGAAATTCCCCTGATGATAAATAATTACTGACGCCAAAACTCCAAGGCTAAACTGCCATTTAACGAATTACTCGGGTGAATTCTGGTACTTTCACGGATTAACCTACCCATTCGTGCAACATACCAATGGACATAGCAACAAAGTATATAAATAAATGAGATAATTTAAATTACAACATTATTACAAGTAAGCGTTTTAGAAGTAACTATATTCCGTGAGGAATATCTGAACATTTAAGAAAATAATTACCAACTGAATATAACAATGTTACCATCATTCTCCAATCAATTACATAATTAGTAATTTTTCAAAATGCATCAAAAAATATTAAATTAAATTAATAGGACTTAAACAGAAAAGTTCAAGATAAAATTCAAGATGAAATCTTATTAATAAATAACTAAATACTACCCTCGAGAAGCGTAGGAGTGAGATGGAGTAAGCGAAGTATAAATAAAAATTGAAAATGAAATATGGAGTAGTAGCCCTAGATTTCAGAAGGAAACATCTAGGGGATGTCGCTGTAGTCGATATTGGACATGACAGCTTTGCATGACGTACGTTTATTTGCCCATTTTTAAAGCACGGAATATTTTTCAGGGAGTCAAACTGCCACCTCGTCGATTTTCATAACGTTCAAGAGAAGGCCGTGCCTTCTTATAACAAACTAATAGAAGTGAGTTTATTGGTTGTGTTTGCTTTGAGCTTTTGATGAGCGCATTGAGTTTCTGTAACTAATAAATGTACTATTTAAACTTTGTATATATGTATTTGTTTTATTATTATATATACATTTATATGTAGATATACATACAGCGTGTCGTTACCATCGCGACAATAAATGAACACACGTCTAACGCTACTTGCCAATAATCATAAAAAAATATTAACGTTAAACTAAATCCATAATTAAAAAAAATATTTTTCAAACAAACTAATTAAGTAAAAAAGAAACAAAATTTGTAACATCCTATACAACTCGCGCCACAGCGTCGCATTACAAGCCTCTCCTTCTAACAGTATGTTTTGTCTCTTTTAAATTCATTCAACCCATTCATGTGCTTTGTGACCTTTACAAATGAACTTTACGTTACAATTTTATACGTAAGGGTGTTCTAAAATTCTTTGTTTTGGAAAATTTTATAACTCTGTAAATACTGATGTTTAAAGAATGTAAATGTTTAATACAATTTTAAAAAGTTATTCCCTATATGTGTGTTCATTTATTGTCGCGATTGTAAAGACACGCTGTATATGCATATAGATATTAAGTGTTTAGTTCTTGTATATTTTTATAATTACTCTGGTAAAATCTTTAATAATGTACACACCTTCACCTAATTATATAGTATTATGGCTTCGTGTTCTCAAGGGTCTGCTGGAAGAGAACTCTTTTTAGGGTTAAGCTCGCCTTTGTACATGTTTTTTGTCATTTGTTCCGATTGTCTGTATTATAATTGTGTACAATAAAGTAAAATAAAAAAAAATGTAAAGTTAAACTAACATACTATAAACATAATATATGTGTAAAACGAATACGTTGATCATAAAGGAATCTGTTTGAATAAAATAAAAATAATAAAAAAAAAACATGTGATATAGAGGACGCAACAGTCTTCGCTCTTGCACGAATAGACAGATAACGACCTCACACATGACCGGCGTGAAGTAGAAGTACTACGCTTCTGCGTTTCGTTTGGTGAGTGAGGTAGCCGGGGCCCAGTTCATTGTAAGATGTCAACGCTTTTTGCAACCCTACGGGCGTTGTAAATGTCCATGGGCGGCGGTTATAAGAGGAGTTGTTGTACTGCGTTTCGTCTGGTGAGTGAGGTACCCGAGTCCACATTACTAAAAGGCGCCGGATTCTCCACTTATCGTACGAATTGCGAAATTATAATACTTACACTTTACGCTGGTCATCTACGAGCCCGTGGTACTTTCCCAGACGAGTCTGTCCATTCATGGAAAAGCAGAAACTGCGGTCTGGTCCTTCCACAGATAAAGTCAGGAAATCTCTACGGTTATACTGGCCACTGCTCAATTATTTTGGGGTCAAATCGCCCAAGTGCTTTTGCACATATCCACCAGTCAATATGACCGAGTTTGTATACAATGACATTATATAAAAACACGAGGTAGATAACACACTAGCGCACCAAATCTGACGCACTCAAATTACTCCAGCTGGCGTTATAAGATTTCAATACTATAGACTGCTTTTTTTTCTATATCTCTTTTTCTATCATACGTTCTATATCATCTGTCACATTCACTCAAATATGTCGTATAATGTAAAGCGGAACAATTTTTAAACGCCGCGCAGTATACACATGCGTAATCTTTGTTGAAATACCGTTATGTGTATATATTTTAAATTATTACTGACACTACGCTCTCAGGATAAACTTCATGAAGTACGAGAAACCGGCCGCCCCACTCGACCATCTTCAGCGGTCGGAGGTGTACAAGTTGGTGCACAGCGTGGACCAGACGCCGCCAAAGCGTGTTGAGATGCTGCGGGCAGCTATCTCCGAAGCTGATTACCGGGAGGTGGGTTTTTTTATGTGAGAAGTTGGCAAGCGAGCAGGCGGTTCACCTGATGTTAAGTGTATACCGCCCATGGACATCTGCTACACCCGAGGGTTGCAGATACGTCGACAACCTTTTGAAAATTGGCCACCTCACTCACGAGACTAAACGCGAAAGTATTATGCTCCCACTTCACGCCGGTCTTCTGTGAGGTCGTAGTACTCACCCGGACGAACCTGCCCATTCGTGCAACAGCCGAAGCTGCTGCGTGGCTACCACAGTTAAAACACACAAACAGTTAAAACACTTGGGTAAAAGTAAAGTAATAGCCTATACATGTACCACTGCTGGGCAAAGGCCTCCTCTGTACAGAGGGTATCAGGGCATAGTCCACCACGCGGCCCCACTGCGGATTGGCGGACTTCGCACATCTTCGAAATATTTTTGATAAATCTAGTAGAGCTTATTCTGTCTGTTCTGGGAGCGTAGCTGCCCTAAAATCGAAATTTACCGCGAAAAAAACGTTAAATGGCTTTACTCCTTAAGTTAAGTTTCATAAGTAGCTTAGTTTTTAATTGTTGTACTTGTAACTTTTTAAATGAGGTCTAGGTATTGTTTTTTTCTTTACAGAGATGTCGCTCAATGTCGCCTTGTCCACCAGACTCCGCCAAAGAGCAACAGCCCTCCGATCAGCTTCAACCGTGACTTGTAGTTTGTTATTGGTGTAATTATATTCTTTGTATATTTAAAAGTTAAAGTGTATTTAGAGATAATAAATTATATTTGTATACTTTTTTTTTCTTTTAATGTCACTTAATAAAATGACGTGCGAAATGTTGTGCCGACCCCACCTAGAATGGTGTGCAGATTCTAACGATTTCGATTATACAGTTAGGCAAATGGCGCGATTTTCGATTATACATTAGGCGCCATGTTTATAAATCCATGACAAAAATATTTATTATTTGCATGTAAGAGCTTACTACCGTTGGGGAAAAAAGGTTCTCGAGTGGCAGCCTCGTACTGGCCATCGCAGTGTAGGACGACACCCACTAGATGGAGTGATAAGTGTGCCAGTGTGTATGGAAGTCGATGGATGCAGGTGGCTTACTAGTTGACTCGTAGGAAATTTTCTCACTTGAATCATTAAATTAAATAAATAATTATGGAAGTAATGGCTCTCCGACAGAAAACAAGTTTGAGAAATAATATATATAAAGATAAGAAGAATGATATTTCCGAGTAGGATTTGACTTATGTTAGCCATCTGACAGTTTTAAAAAAAAATTGTAAGATATATAATTATAATAAAAACATGAGTGTTGTAAATATTATAAATTAAGAAAAATTGATAGTTTCACAGACAAACAAAGCATCAGTATCTCGCTCAAGTCTTTTTAATAGACTTAGAATATTATTATTACATTTATATACGTTATATAAGCGTTAAATAAACATTTTAAATATTTTAATATGGTAAGCTGGCCTGCGCAACCAGTAAACGTAGTGATTACATTCTCTCTGCTGTGCGGAACTTCGTCTGCGCCAAATGTACTGGTCTAAGAGCCCAGGGCAGCCAGACGTTACTTATTTTCTTAGTAACAAAATATATCGTATAGAGTAGTGTTAGAGTATACTCTGAAGGTATACATACCTGCTAGCTTGGGTCGGCGGCCAATTCACAGGTACCAAGTGCTAAAGGTACATAAATACATCGCTCACTTTTCTTAAATTCGGAGTGCTGATATTCATATATATTTTACAAAATTTTATTAGAAATTTAAAATTAATATTATATTAAATAATATCATATTATATATATTAAAATATAGTTTGTTTGAAGAACGTATTTTTTTAATTATGGATTTTTAAAAAAATAAAATAAAAGGATTTTTTAACTTCTTACATTTTTTTATGATTATTGGCACTTTTAATCATGCCATCTATTAGATACTTAATCCAACAGGTAAATTTACCTTACACTGCCATCTATTAGAGTCTTACGAAACTCACAGATGACTACTTGTCCTAATATATTCAACAAATAATTTGCATTAAAACAATATTGTGACTAGTAATTGAGATATAAACTATCCTATCTCTCAAGTTGGATCAAACTGCAGAAGTAGACAGTTGAAATTTTCACAGATGATTTATTTCTGTTGCCGCTATAACAAAAAATACTAAAAAACAGAATAAAAAATATTCACGTGAGACTCCCATCAAAGACTACTATTGTGTGCTGGAAAAAAGACTACTATTGTGTGTGACTCCCATACAACAGGCATGATTTTTTTGCCGTTTTTATAGAAAATTGAAAAGTGAAAATTGAAACTGTCGAACTATCACGGTTCATGAGATACAGCCTGGTGGCAGACGGACAAACAGATAGCGGTCTTAATAATAGGGCCCCGTTTTATCCTTTGGGTACGGATCCCTTATAATGGTACGGAACCCTTCGTGCGTGAATCCGACTCGCACTTGGCCGGTTTTTTTTTGTTCGTTTGTTACTTTAATCGTTTCGATGGACTCGCTAATATTTTTTATTCCATTATTGAAAACTTGAATACCTACCTAAAAGCAAATCGTAATTTATTTTGATAATTTATTTTAATGCATGTGACAAAAATCTAGATAATGAATACGTTTTTCAATGTCAGTGTCAAAGTCAACGTAAAACGTAGTGATTATTATTGGATGGTCAACAATCAATCAACAATCTGTCAATCAATGTAAAAGTCAAAAAGTCAGTGTCATGCCGTGTTTTCAAAAACTTGTGATTGTGATTATATATTACTGATAAATTAATATTTGTTCTAGAATGTTTCGGAAGATTTTCATTGATTTATATTTCGACTAAGTTGTTCAGCGCTATGTTAACTTCGAAGGTAAACCATACTACGATTTACTAGTACTATTTCTGCGACGTAAATAAGTTAGTAATCAGGAAATTAGTTGTTTTTAATTATCGAGTGTTAGGTTTTCTAAAAATTATTTTTTTAACTCAATTTCCATAAAAATGCACTAATATGTAACATTTAAATCTTATACTTAATAAGTTACAGGCTAGTTATTTTGCAAATGCTAGTTATTTGCATGTATCACATACTATAAAGTACATAATTAAAAAGAAATCTTGTTATTGTTTTGCAAGTGTTGTCTAATATAAAGTTTGCAAGTGTTATTCTAAGTCTAATATCTATACAATCATATTGTAAATTGACAGAAAGACATACATAAACTTTAATATGAACAAATCTTTACTTGCAGTTGGAGGTCTTGGTTGAATTTGGTCCAAAAATAGATCAGCAACTTTTAGATAAAACTCTAAATGAGCTCAAATCATATGATGGTGTAACAGAGGTAAGTTAAATAGTTCTAAAATGATTAAATCATAGAAATTCTTCTGATGATCTGATATTTTCATTTCATAATGTTATCTATATATGTATAATTCTTCTATGTGTGTGTAAGTCGGCTTTATAAAACGTCGATCCACAACTACCAATCTTATGGTATTCACAAATCACTTATTTGAAAACATGGATTGGCAACAGCAAACTGATACAGTATACACTGACTTTCAAAAAGCTTTCGACAAGGTGGATCATAAATTACTTCTGGACAAGATAGCATATAATGGCATTCGTGGAAATTTACTGCGGTGGTTTTCGTCATACATATTTCGAAGGACTGAAATCGTTATCAATGGCTTTGAATCAGATTATATATTTGTTCCTTCTGGGGTTCCTCAAGGATCTATCTTAGGGCCTCTTCTCTTTATTCTATTCGTCAATGATCTTAAATTTTGTTTTCTTCTTTCAAAGTTTTTAATGTACGCCGACGATATCAAAATTTACAAGACGTGTCTAACTCTGGAGGATTGCATATTTCTTCAGGAAGATCTGAACAGATTTTCTAGATACTGTCTAGACAATAAATTGAACCTAAATCTACCCAAATGTAAAATGATATCTTTTACAAAAAAGAAAAATTTACTTAGTTTCAATTACTTTATTAATGATGTGATGTATACTTTGTTAACCCTTAGAAAGGGTTAACTTCATTAGAGATCTTGGTGTGACTCTAGATTCAAAGCTGCATTTTAATATACACATTGATAATATTATTAATAATGCTTTTAGGTTGTTTGGATTTGTTATGCGTTCGACTGACGACTTTAAGCGTCCTTCGACTTTCCTACTCTTATACAAAACCTTGGTTCATTCTCAATTAGAATTTGCTGTTCCAATATGGAATCCCTTCTATCAAAAATACATTTCAAGAATAGAGATTGTCCAAAAGAAATTCTTACGCACTATGCACTTTAAATGTTTTCACGCTAGGCTTTCTTATGTACAATTATTAGAAAAATATGAGTTATTGAGTTTGGAGTCCAGGCGCACTCTTGCTATGGCTATGCTGTTATATGGATTATGTAATAATAAATTCGACTGTATGGAGCTTACTAACAGGATTGCTTACATTGTACCAAGAAGAGTTACCATACGCGATGCATGCGTGCCTCGATTGTTCTACACTGAAAAGTGTAGAACAAATGCTGGGCAGCGGGCACCGCTTCGTAGAGCGCTAGATGTATATAACTCTAAATTTATGAATTGTGATTTGTTTTCACTTTCCCAAAATCAATTTAAAAGAATGGTTACACTAATACTTAAAAAGTAATATGTAAATTAGGCTAGGAACCGACTTACTCTTTTAATTTTATTTAACTTAATATTATTTTGTGGACATTGGTGTGGGTTAAACGTTTAGTTTAATAATTAGAAATTCCATTTTATGTATAATTGTTAATGTATAACTGTTTTATGTCCCAATAAATAAAAAAAAAAAACTCACAACCTCCTAAACGGCTGGACCAATTTAAATATTTTTTTTTGTTTCTTGAGGTCGATTCTGGAATGGTTTAGAATCACAATTTGTGTACTACAGTTTTATTTTTATTTTTTTATTTATAAGTATAAGGACTTAAGTTTTGTGTACAGGACAATATCTGTCGGTATATTCCTATCCTAGTCCGCCAATCCGCAGTGGGGCCGCGTGGTGGACTATGCCCTAATACCCTCTGTATATAGGAGGCCTTTGCCCAGCAGTGGAACATGTATAGGCTGTTTCTTTACTTTTTTTATATTCCTATATTCGATTCCATATTCCATATATTCCATTAATTTGTTACTATTTTTTCTCTATTGGTTAAATTTCTTTTTGTTTGTTATTTTGATGTAATTACCTGCTACAATTTTAGCCCAAAGATAATTGTTTCATGTCTGGGTGTTAGTCCTTGAAATTTATGTATGTAATCCTTACAACACAGAATAATACTATCCTACAGTAATATGCTTTTCAAAGAGAAGACTTATAATGGACCTTTCTAGGTCATAGTTGTCATTGGGACTAACCATAGCCTTACGTACAAAATACATACTATCATATGATCTCATCTTGAAGATTCTTTGTTGCCTAATATATTCATCCATTTCCCTACTGTAATTTATCAGAAATCACCATTGGTTATTTTAAATGGATACATTGTGGATATAAATACAATTTATGTCGGCAGGCAATTTTTAAAGATGGAGCGATAATGGTGGAAACAACCCTACCTAGTACGGTTGTAGTGGACTTAGTGACTCGGACATCTGGCAAAAGAGCGGTATTGCAAGGGTTTGGAGGTAAGCACAGGGGATTTTAAGAAGTGAGATGGCCAATTTTTACTTGAATTTTTAGAGAATTTATTATAATATACTTTTTTGCGTAATTTTTTTTAATTGCAAATTTTGTTTAATTTTTATATTATTATAAAGTGTTTTATTTCAACTTTAACCATAAAGCTTTTATACTCTTTTTTAGTTGTGTCTACTGTCTGCTAAACAGTAGTGTTTATCTATAATTAAGGTACGATTTATCACTTTTTAAAAAGCTTTTTGCATACAAAAATTCTGTTTCGGTGTGTAAATGTTTATCACCAACAAAGGTAATAAATAAATAGGTGCTAGAATCACGCAATAGTGTTTGCTGTTGCACGAATGGGCAGGTCCGTCCGGGTAAGTACCACGACCTCATAGAAGACCGGTGTGAAGTAGAAGTGTAGCACCTCTGCGTTTCATCTAGTGAGTGAGGTAGCCAGCGCCCACTTAATTAAGAGGTGGCAACGCATCTGCCACCCTACGGGTGTTGCAAATGTCCATGGGCGGCGGTCATCACTTAACATCAGGTGAACCGCCAGCTTGTTTCACATTGAAGCAAAAGGGTGGCAATGTTTTGGAAGGGAAGATTACCATAGATTTTTTAAGTCTCAATGATTGTTGGACTTACTACCCAACCCCTTCCATAGAAAATTCAAAATGCCTTACAGATATGCAGTCAGCAGTATCAATGGTGTCAAGCCAGTCCTGCTGCAAGGGAGGGGTTATGGGGGTGATAAGATTTCAGCAGAGTCCGGAGGGTCCTCTAGTAGCAGATGGCTGTATCGACGGGCTGACCCCAGGTCTCCATGGGTTGCATGTCCATGAAGCGGGGGACCTAAGTCAGGTGTGCCCAACAAGAGGTGTTTGTACTATAATTAAGGTTGTTAAGTAAGCACATTCGGCGTGGGAAATCTGAGAAAGAAGAAGGAATATGAGAGATAGACAGAGAATTATGTTCTTTTATTGTTATTTTAAAGTGTTGGCACACAAGCAAAGTGGGGGATCTGAGTCAGGTGTGTATAAGAAAGCGGTACATTAAATAAGGAGACATTTGGGGTGAGAAATATTAGAAAGAAGAAGGAATGTCAGAGCATTATGATTTATTATTATTTTAAAATTGTGGCACGCGGAATTTCATCAGAATTTTCAGCCTGCATTGGGATTATTTTTTTGTGTTGTATCTGTGACACTAGGCCACAGGTGCTGCCAATCTAAACACTATATATAAGTACCTGCACCTAACACCAGTCTTCTGTTGGGCAGCGGCCCATTCTGTTAAAAGTTACCCAAATATTAATATTCACATTTTTATTTTGTTTGACAACTGTTCATAAATAGATATATGTACAGCTGTCTGTCATTGTATGTGTTTAATTTTAGGTAACTTTTTAATATTCTCTCACCGTTGATATTCTTGGCTAACCCAAATCATTTAGAGACTTTAACGCCTTTGCCCAGCAGTGGGACATGCTGCTGTTACTTTACCTTACGCAGGGCTGCAAGTCCATCGGCGGCCATTATAACCCCTCTGGATCACGGCCCTTCCCAGAGGAGAGGCGGCACGCTGGGGACCTGGGCAACGTGGTGGCAGACGAGAGTGGCAGAGCCACCTTCAGGATCGTGGACGAGGTCCTAAAGGTAGCTGGCGAGGACCTTTCAGAGATCAATTGCGTCCCACGGGCTGGTAAAAACCGGCCAATCATCTCTCTTGTGTAGGAGCCCCACTGAAATATTTTTTTATTCTGTTATACGGGACCCTATTACAGAGACTCCGTTGTCAGTTTATTTATTTTCATTTAAAAAAAAATTGCCCTCACTTTAGGGTAACACTATCCTGTGTTGCAAGGACGTTTAACGAACATAAGTTTCATAAAGAAATAAATAAATATTTATTCATAAATATTTCACGCGGACAAACACCCAGATGCGAAACAACTATCCGTGGATCGCAAAAATACTTTTCCCGTGTGGGAATCGAACCCACGACCCCGACGCCGAAGCCAATACCTTGGCAACTGCGTCGCGGAGCCACCAAATGACCGGTTAATAAGGTTCGTTCGGACCTTACCAACAGGTGGTCGGCCATTTTCCAGGTGTGGGACATAATAGGCAGGTCTGTCGCCGTAACGGGGGGCTGTGACGACCTTGGCAAGGGGTCTGTGGCCGCTTCCAAGGTCAATTGCGACAGCGGACCACCGTGAGTAAACATTGACACCATTATAGTGTATACAATATAGTCAGGGCCGGATTTAGTGGTGTGGAGGGGTGAATTTATTGTGAAACCTAGTATTTTATTATTTAACGAACATATCAATATAATCTCTATATTGGGGGCCCCTCTTTTGTGGAGGCTTAGGGGCTATGGGGTAGCCCCCCGGTTGTCCACCCCTAAATCCGGCCCTGAATATAGTATTGTTCAGTCGCTACACGCTTCGTCGTAAAACGTGGGAGTGGTACAAAGAGTATGTCGCTCTTTCTCCCACTCGTGGGTCTACTGGTTGCATATGCGCGTTGCCACCTTTTAATGAAATTGGCTAGGGATGTCGAAAAATATCGATACATCGATATGTTCAGCCGATATACTTGGATACGATATATCAATATAAAATATGCAAGATTCGATATAGAATATTTTAGATCGATATGTATCTATCGATAATCGTATCAAAAACGATAATTTTTCAAATTCGAATCCGGCACAGAGTCCCTACGTGTCAAATATTTAATACTTAACATACCTTTTTTTGGATAACGTGGTTTCTATGACTGAAAGAGAAAATATCGATATTTTCTCTTCGATATATCGCGGCCGATATTGATGTTTGTATAAATATCGATATATTTCTTCACTTTCGACATCCCCTAAATCGTCTCCGGCCACCTCACTCACGAGACGAAACGTCTACTATAACACTACTTCACGCCGGCCTTCTGTGAGGTCGTGCTCACCCGGACGGACCTGCCCATTTGTGCAAAAGCCAAGACTGCTTGTTACATTTTGAACCGACTTCAAAAAAGAAGGAGTTTCTCAATTCGACTGTATTTTTTTTTTAATGTTTGTCACCTAAAACCATTGTCATTTATTCATTTTACATTGGGTTCGATACAGCTCCCATCGTGTGATCCCTAATAAATTTTATCAGACCATATAGCCGGATTAATCTCCTTAACAACAGACTTCATTTATATATCGACTTTATTTTTTTTTTTCTTTTATGTTTGTCACCTCAGAACTTTAGACTGGCTGAACATGATTTTGATGATTCTTTTTTTTTTTTTTTTTTTTTTTTTTTGAAAGCTGTTGCTTGCCATTTGGTCTGGATATTAATTTCATCGGTATTGGATCTTGGGCTCCGGAGATTGAACCAATTATAAAATTAACGCAGAGCGAGATATTTGCAGTCGGTTTTGTTTTTCGTAAAAAATGACTTATAATCCACTTATCTCGTCGGTTTCGTTTTTCGTTAATAAAAAAAATGGACTTGTGATCAACTTATCTCGCGTTTTTTCCTACAGTGTGGCGTGTGGCATTATAGCGCGCTCCGCTGGGGTCTTCCAGAATCCGAAGCGCATATGCGCTTGCGATGGGGTGGTTGTATGGGACGAGAGGGACCGCCCCTTAGCGGGTAGGGGGCGGAGGGAGAAGGAATGCTGTCAGAAAGAGAAGGAAAACGGGATTAAACGCTGCTGTAAAGTGTAGTCGGGGGTTGGACGAAATGTAAATATTGCTCGGTGTTGCTATGTGTGTATAAATTAGGGATTTTTCTTTGTAAATAAATTTATTCGGTTGGAATTGGTCTGTATTAAAGATTTAAGGATTTGTTTGTCTTTTTCTTGTACCTGTAAGTGATTCCTTAAAGAAAGTCTTACTAGATATTACTCAGCTAGTGTGTCTAACACCTTAGACTGCATTTGCGCCAACCGTTAAGTGGAATGTTCGGCCTATTCGAGTATAGAAGAAATTATGAGTAATCTACCACCAAACCTTACTAATATTATAAAGGCGAAAGTTTGTATGTATGGATGGATGTTTGTTACTCTTTCACGCAAATTCTACTGAATGGATTTTAATGAAACTTACAATAATATAGATTATACATCGGAATAAGACTACAATTTTTATATATATATATATTTTATGTATGTCCGTATTTCTGTCTGAATGTTACGCTTTCAGCCTATTCTACGCAGACGTAATCGCGGATAGTTGTAACATATATTGACCTCGGTATACAGCTCCTTAAAATTTGAAGAAACATCGAATCCAAGTCTTCGGCATTCGCGGCCTGACGCTTTAGCCACTAAGCTAAACGGTTGATTGCGACACCGACGAAAACCTTAACAAATTTTAATGCTTACTCTTAAGTGCAGAGATTAGCACTATAAAAATTTTAAAATTTCTAGACAGCTCCTGTCCTTTGCGTCATTTGTGGGTTGGATCTCCATTACGAGACCAATAGTGTTTTTAGTATCATAGTGTTTGTCGACCTAAAATATGCATTTTTTTTAAAAAAGCTGTGTTTCAGTACGTCTAATGTTCCTGAAAATGTATCTTTTTTATGTAAGGAAATGGCACCGGATGGCGCCTTCCATGTACATTGGCAACATCCGTAGTAAACCCCTGGTTGCAGATGTGTTGCCCCTAAGTAAAGTGGGCTCCAGCTATCTCACGCACCAGACGAAACGCTGAGTGTAACCCCCACTTCATGCCGTTCTTCTGTGAGGTCTTGGCACTTACCCGGACGGACCTGCCCATTGGTGCAACAGCGAATGCTGACACGGCCCTACCACTATACCTATTTGAGGTGCTTCGGAACAAAACAGATAAATAACAACAGTTTTTATGTTAAGTATGGCAATCTGCCGCCGGAGGTCTTTCCGAACGGTTACGACCTGGGAACCTTCAAAAAGAGAGCATACTCTTTCTTGAAAGGCCGGCAACGCATTTGTGAGCCCTCGGGTGTTGCAGGTGATCATGGGCGGCGGTGATCACTTACCATCAGGTGAGCCTTCGGCCCATTTGCCCCTTTTCTCCATTAAAAAAAAATCGGCGGTTTACGTACATTTATCTAAGATTAAATCGTCTTCAAAAACTTTCTCGAAACACACTAATCTGAACACAAACCGATAAATCAATTGAATTGTTTCATGATTGGGAACACGCCGACAAACCCTTAGAAATTTTCATGTGCCATGCATTTGGTTGGTTGAAAACCGACAAATCCATATCCAAAGATTTATAAGACACGGGGGAAGATTTATTACTGGGTCAAGATTGGAGTTTAAGGATTGTCCAAAATCCTAGAAACATTCTATAAAAAACTAGGAATGCCAAACATTGTTCATCACTAAATTGAAAATCTATAGACATATGTATTAATTTTAAATTTCCCGAAAAAATTTAATGTGATATATCGGTTTTTGTTCCGACGCTCCTCTTTTATTATCCAGATATATCGGGTTTTATAGTCACCATATTGTGGTGACTATAAGACCTGATAATAAATGACACAATCCGATGTAAAGTTCGGTGAAATAAAAGCCTGTTGGAATAACAATCATAATATTTATTACAGGTTGCGTGTTCACAAAGCTTAACATCTAGAAACATCGCAGAACAAAGCCCCCAAAAACATTCTGGAAAGAATTTTAAAACGACATATGATATAATGACAGGTGTCACGTTTTTATTCAAAATTGTTTTATTGAAAAGGTGATAGTACAGCACATCGTTTTAAATACAAGGGGATTCCTTGCTTGGCCATAAAGAATTATAATTTCTAATATTATTACAAATTATATACGAAAAAAAGAATCGCGGTAAAGTTATCTGAATTCTTGCAGGTTCATTTTGAATACAAGTTAACAATATTGTACGCAATTTAATTGTATAATAGACGCTCCTAATATATGTTTATCTCTCTCTTATTTTTGTACGTCACGTTGAGGCTTCTCAAAAACACCCGTGTATTGCCAGCTAACAATTTTTAGTAATCTGTTTCAAAAAGTTCCTGTGTGTAAGTTCAATAAATTCAAATCTTGGAATTAGCGAATTTGATACTATTAAATACATTATTCTGTATATAATTTGGGCCATTGATACACGGTTGCGTTGATGAGGGCAACACTGAATGGCTTTGTAAAGCGTTAAAGTCATTACTAGAATAAGTAACAAGTCAAAATAAAAACATTAAAGCTCGCGAATTTGTAAAAACAGCGGCTTTGCACCGCAGTAGACTTATCGCCAAATATTTAACATCACTGGTTAGAATCGAAAAATCTCCGTAAATCTCCATCTAAATGCACTAGATACACTGCTAAAAATATGCTTATACACTCTTAGGCTTAATCTAAATACAATTGTCGTGTGAAAGTTGTTCAAACGTAATTTAATTGGGAGGAATTGGGAATATTTGAATTAGTCGCGTTTGAAATATCGCACGATAAGTGCTCGTCCCTTGTAAATCATAATAATAGTTATGATATATGGTAAAAACACTTAACGGAATTAATAAAGTTACACAGCTTTCGTATAAAAATATCATTTTCAATTATATGGACGTATTTTTGTTCCACAACCGATTCAATTACTTTTTGGGCATAGATACAACTATTGTGTAGATAATAAAAGGTTTTTGGGCATAGATACAACTATTGTGTAGATAATAAGAGGTTCGATTGCTCCCTCAGCCAAGATTACTTATTAGCCGACAAACAACAATTTGTCGCACAATTTCTTTTAGTTTTACACCTATAGCTCGCTCTTGCATAAACCGGAATAATTCCGTCAGACATTTTATTTAACAAATTTTTTTATTACATCAATGCAACATTCAATTACAGTAATACACTTTTAAAATATTAATATTAAAACACCATACGGTATTAATGTTTGAGGAGATATATAAGGCCACACTATCACAAGTATATTTTGCTTTCATTATTGCTGAAACTTTAAGTACACTTCTTTTGTATATATATTTTTTAATTTCTAGATAAGATGTGAGAGTACTACACAAACAAATCACAACATAAAAATTCAACACAAACTTTATAGTTCTTTATCTTCATAACAAAGGTTTGAAAACAATATAATTTCTTCACAGGTTATTTTATTACTTTGAATTTAATGACGTAACCACTATAATATATTTAATATAACGATTAAACCGATTGCAATACATAGTTAAGAGCAAATAATTTTTATATAGGACTTAAGCTTAAGGCTTTTTATACTAGGTAACATACATTATCTGTGATTAGAATTGCTGCATATATAGTCTGTGGGGTGAATATAATATTTTGTATCGATAGATCGGAACCAAATATATCGGGTGAAAATATCTATATATATATAAAATCAAAAATATCGATATTTTTTCGACATTCCTATATGAGTTAGCTGTGGTATTAATAGGAAAACTTAATTTAACTAAAAAAAAGAGTGCGTGTTCTAGTTGTGAAAATAATGTAATTTTTTTTAAATATTTTTACCTATGAAGTTTTACTTCGCAAATTAGCCGCGCTGTTAAGAGGTATTCTATTTGTTCTTACTAACGCTATGGCACCTATGTGGTGGATAAGATACTTTTGCATCGAATAAAACTATAAACATATGTACAAAAGCACTCTTTGAACTGTATAGATAGATATGGACTAAATGTATAATTTGAGATATAAAAAAATATTAGTGGGAACGAACAATATTTTTTAAACGAACAAGGTCGTAAAATATGTGAATATTTTTTGTGCTAGAATATTTAAACGGATTAAAGTCCAAACTTCTTGCAACTAGAAGCTTTTTGTAAGTAACTAGTTCCTTAAAAATTTTCGTAAGTTTTTTAAAAGGTTTTGCATGCCGCTACACTAAGGCTATTTTGTCAACAATGCTTAGTGATTACATATACCAATATATAAGTGCAAAATTGCTAACAATATTATTTCATATACATAACATTTATAACATAATAGACACCATTTACTTAAGTCATTTAAGTAAAACCATTCTGCCTATTTTTAGGTGAAAAATATTTCTTTTGCATACATAACGTTTCATATATTATCTATGGCACGGAAGTAAGTCGCTGGCATAATCTACATGCATATATATAAGTAATAGTTCTATTTTAATTGACTCGAAGCAACTGTAATATAACGATTTTTTTCAATGACTACGGCTAAAATTTTTTGGGTTGTCACCTGAAAAAAAAAAACAAATCTACATGTGACCTTTTTTAGAGCATATTGTTTCTCTTAAGTTAGAGAACTTGAACAAAGTCACCTTGGAATAATTCTCAAAATGATATTTCTTTTGTATGTTGTAATCATTTTCTCTTACAAATTTAATTTAGCGTTAATTTCACGTCGGATTTTTCTTGATGATGTAGGATATTATATTATCTATGATTTATATATTATGATCTAAGCCGTCTCAATTATTTCCTCTGCACAGAAATTATAAAAGCTTGGTCTCAGATTTTATATTAATTTCATTTTTAGTGCTAGTCTCTTAAAGTGTAGATAAATTGCCAAAAACTTATTTCGCTGTAACGTTGACGTTACTTTTTGAAAAGGTGGCAAACGAGCCGGCAGTTCACCTGGAGTGATAACTGCAGCCCATTGACATTTGCCCGTAGGGTTGCGTTGCCACCATTTAAACTAATATATATATAAGCCCAATTTTCAAAAGGATGTCAACGCATCTGCAACCCTCGGGTGTGGCAGATGTCCATGGGCGGCGGTATTCACTTAACATCAGGTGAACCGTCTGCTCGTTTGACAACGTGTCACATAAAAAAAAAAAAAAAACTGGGCTCAGGCTACCTCGCTCACCAACAAAGTATAACAGTTCCGATTCACGCCGGTGTTCTGTGAGGGCGTCGTACTTACCCGGACGGACTTGCCCGTTCGTGCGTTTAAACCCCCAAGTGTCGATTTACCAGGATAAAGTAAAGTAACTATACGTGCCCCACTGCTGGGCAAGGGCCTCAACTACCAGTGCAGTCCACCACGCGACTCCACTGCGTATTGGCGGACTCGACATATCTTCGAAATATTTTTTTTTTGTATTATTTCGAAAGTGTGGTGGTTCGGGCTTCCTCGCCGCTGAGCACGCGATAAGTCAGTGCTTAAAATTAACAATTTCATTAATGCCCGCACCAGGGATAGAACCCTAGTGTATTGAATTTACCGTGACTCACCTCACTTCATGCTCATGTTCGCACTGTAGAAGTCGAAATCGTCCAGGCCGTCTGGCTCGAAGGCCCTTATCTGCTCGAAGAGATCGCTGTCCATGAAACTGTTCTCCGTCTGGGCGGGCGTCGAGGCGCTGAAGTAGCTGTTGTGCGCCCGTTTGTTGTTGTTGTTAAGTGCCAGATCGGGCAGTTGTGTTGAGTCAAGATTGTTGTCGAGCGGTTTTCGGGCCGCATTGCGGATTTGATAAGTTGTTGTCGTCCATTTGTTGTTCGGTGTGCATTTTTCGTTTACGTGTTGGTGTGTGTCAGTGTGAGTCAGTGTCAGGAAACAGTTTGAGATGTTAGAGTATTAATTTTTGTTATACCATATTGTTGGTTACGGTTCTCGTGTTGTAGCGCGAGTCATTTCGTTGCAATTGTTTTTTGTTTTTTCGCAGTGAACGGTTACAAAAATTCAGGATACTCAGTGTAGTGGTTTTTTGTGCATGTGTGTGCGTGTTGTTGAGGGTTCCGCGGTGCCGTAACGCAGGTCAGGCGCCGCCGTAAGTTGGGATCGGGAAAGAAAAGAGAAAATGCAACACATTAATAGACGGTCGTTGTGAACGTTGGAGCTCTTAGGGTAGCGGAGAACGTAACGAAACGAAAGAGAAGTTAGGTGGAGAGAGAGAGAGGTAATACAACGTTCCCATTCGACCCAGTTCCCCGCCAAAAATGGCAGCACAGACATTGTGAGGCGGTTACTTGTGCCCGGCGTATCAGAGCGATGAAGAGAAACAAAAATAAAAAATAAATAAATTTAAAATAAAAATAAAAAGCAATCAACGTAATAATTGCGATAATACGAATTACGAAAAATTAAAAAAGGGGGAAAAAAACGACCGTCTGTGTTGCATTTTCGCGTAGGGCGTTGAAAAAACATTGTCTCTGGTCGCCTGCCAATAAATTGAACGCGCTTCCACGTCCATAGACAAGATTTTCTCACGAGTCGAAATAAGAACAACGATTTAGTGGGTTCTCACATATAATTCAATCATAAATACATCGAAATTTCATTACCTAAATTACACAATTTGTCATGTAGAACTGATGTTGGGGGAATACTCACATTGGGCTTGCTTTTGGTATCTATATGGCAAAAATAATATGTTATATAATAATATGTAAATATTTTCAAGTTATACCAGATTTCTTCCCGATACAAAATTTTCGGATATGAAAGGAAGTTTTTTTGATAGATATCAATATTTCATAAGACAATTGAAACTGCACGGCGTAATAATGTATGCCGGTTCATTTAATTGCAATTTGCAGCGACAATTAACTGGTATAAAATTGTTGGTCCCGTGTGATTGAAACAATATGTTGGAGAGAAACTTTCACATTTCCTCAAACTGGAGTAGTTTATTACTGCCGCAAATGCTTGCGTTGATTGTGGTATATTTTTAAGGTGATTAATTATCCACCTTTCACCAAATCCGCAATAAAAAAGAAAAATCTTGAGATTGCAATACAAAACTTCAGCTTGCTTCAATTTAAATCGATAGTAAATTGCTTTAGTCTTCGATAAGAGGGAATTTTGAAAAATTAATACAGATAATATATTCGCTTCTTCCCAATACACGCAACAGCCCAATGTGAATATTTAAAACTGTTGTTGCGTTTTACAATATATACGGTCGTATCTATTGTTGGCAAAATTTGCAGCCGCTTTTGACATCTGTCATTGCGACAACATTTTCCCGCGCTTTCGCTGTCTCGGCTCAAACGGTTGCCAATTTGAACGCCTCGAGCTCTTTTTATGCTTAGACTATGATCTTAACCTAAAATAGCCACATCCTTCTATCTCTGACGCGTGCACTGAAAGTGGAATAAGGCAACCCTTTCGCACCTTCGGTGTACGCGCCAGAGTGTACAATAACAGATTATCCAACGTCACAACAACAGTCAAGGTCAACAGAGTTAAAAATATTTCGAAAAACGTCATTTTCTTGTTCCTTTTTTAATAAAAATTTTACGTCCACAGCATTCAGACGATTTTATTACATACATAGTAGTGTATAGAGATCCTATTATAATTTATAATTCGAATATGATTCGTAATTAACGCGAGTTAATCAGGAATCAGTATAGTTGTCGAAACGAAAATTGAGATTCAGTCAGTTTCTAAAGCCCTATAGACTTCAAAGTCATTGGAGGGTTGCTGGTTTAGTTTGTGTTATACACATGTTCTAAATGGATCGAGATTATGAACAATTTTCAATTTTGAAAATCAAAACGGCTATAATATAATATACCACTAGACATATTGGAAATACGTTTTAATTGTTCCTAAATTGCTCGGTAATTGCGAAACATTTCTAATGTCTAACTAAATGCCTTGAAATGGTCAGAAATTCTTGAGCGATTCCACTTTCACCCATAAAACCATACGATAGAACTTAAAAAACCAATTCTTTGCTCAGTCAATTTAAAAGAAATGTCTTATATTTTCTCCTATTATGCCAAAATTGAAAAATCATTAATTCTTTTAAGATTTGCCATAACAATATTTTGACGAGACAAAATACGAATGCAAAAAACGGTAATAATAATACGGTTGCGAAATTATTTAACGCTGAAAAATTATGTTATAAAAATTGGAATTGTTTTTAATTTTCCTATTTTAGTCATAAGCAGAGAGAAAACGGCACTGTTTAAATAGGGCGAGCAAAAATAAATAGCTAAATATAACCTAACACAAAATGTTTAACTTCGTTAGAAGTACGAGAATTTCTAACTGGAATATTCTAGAGGCGAAGTTCTATTTCAACAATTTTTATAATACAGTTAGAGGACGGTCGTATTCATTTCTATCTAACAAAGAAAATAACCTTTTTTTTTTGTAAAAAAAAAAACTCGTAGAATGATCATGTGATAAGTAAATTTAATAAAAATCGATATTTTTTCCCTTAAAACGATGAAAAATATATTTAAAAATCATGCCTGAAAAATGTTCCTTTACAAAAAAAATATTTGCCAATAACAACACAACACAAATGTCATTAATGGCGGGAATCTACTTAGTTTTGTAAATATACAGAATAATTGTCTACATGTACTATATTTTATAAAAGCTAAAATGCATTTCAAACGCGTGGACAATTTAATAAAAATTCCCTAAGTCCAAACTGAACAATATAATTTCAAAACATCAATACTTTTAAGCACAGCAGCGTGCAATTATAAACATAATTATTTAAATAAATTCTATATAAACTATATAACAGCCGTTGTAGAATACTATAATATATGTATAAGTGTAAATATATGAATATAGTCAATTAATAATTCAGTTAAAATTGGGTATGCGTAAAACGAATATTTAACATATGTTGTTTTGACACACAAAGAAATGCCGAAAACTGGAATATTGTGTCTCAAAATTCACTAAGGTTTCCATATTCTGTCATCTGTAGATTTTATTACGAGCGATAGTAGGTATTTGACGTTAACTTCATTATTCTTACGTCAAAATTCTATCATCATTAAACAAATCTACAGATAGAATATTGAAACCGGCCTTTGACATTTAATATTTATGAAGTGCTTATCTTTTTTTGTATATAACTCTTACGCAACAGATATAGTAACGATATGTGTATAAACTATTTATATTGCAATGCGTAATTTAACAAGATTTAATTGTGTTTTCTTATCCTTTGATATGTGTAACGTAAAAAAATACTAATAATCATAATTTAAATACAAATGTTAAAATTGTTGTTTTTCAAATAGTTGTGTTCAAAAAGGTTTTTGTGCTATCATAGAAAAATGTATTAATGAAAAGTAAAGGGCACAAATGTACTCCTGGAGAAAGAGGTCTTATTACTAAGAATAATAAATTTTATAAAAAAATACTCATTTTAATTTGTTATGAATCATTCTGAACCAAAATGTATGAAGAAGTGTATAGAACAATAATTATAAATGACGTTCAATGATATTTAGTCGAAATGACTAAACAAAGGCATGTCAGTTTTCAGTCTATTATGGTAGCAACATGTGGATTGGAATGTTACCTAGCGGATGTTCTTTTCAATGTAAATGACTTATAGTCAAAATGACGAATAAAAGGCTTGACAGCTTTCATGCAGTAAATAAAGATCTTCAAATTGCCGTTTTATTAAATTATCAAACTGTAGCTTATTTCATTATTTATTATATTTATACGCAATAATTATTGAGATTATTCAGATGGTCACTCAAGGCAAGACGGTAGTTTAAAACACTACGTGAATAATGTAATTCGTTGCTACACAACGAACATAGTCGGTATCAAAATGTTATTAAAACATAGTTACACTCAAATGATAAATTGCCAATACAAAAGACATATTTTCGCAGCCGTTCGGAAAACGTAAGGAATTGCAGCTATTTTTTCTAACATTCATAAAATAAAACATCAGATAGGAAAATTAATTCCCTAAAAACGGAAACAAACCCAGAAACAGTTTCGTCCTTCACTACAACCATAGCCAATTTAACGAGCGTCGAGTCTGATACATCAATGGGACACTAAACAACAATACTGATACAAATCCTACACCTAATACAGTGACCTTAAACGATTAAAAACATCAAATCGAGACAGACATCCAGAAAATACTGATTAAACGTATCGAGTTCGACGCAAGACATTTCCGAAAGCGTATATTGACAACACGAGAAACATAAAACCGCTAAATGTGAGTCCCTTTAAATCAAAGCCAGGGAGATACCTCACCTTAGCGGATAACTAGCTACTAGTCTTGCGACAAACATTAGGCCATAATTCTCGACGGAAGTCTAACATTAAGGAAAGAAGGAGAAAAAAAGTTATTGCCAGATCAGAGATAATTCCTATGAAAGCATCATGGAGAATTAACTAGTCCGAAATCCGTTCTCAAATTTTGGCAACGCATTAACATTTTCATTTTAAAACTGAGGCTTTATTCGTTTTGTGTTATCAAATAAAATTTAAAACGCCTCTATGATGCTGAATATAAATGGAATTAAAAAAGCTATGACGAAAACCATTTGAAAACTACAAAACTAGGAGTCCGCCGAGACTTAGGGCTGATTATAACGAACCACAATCGACCGTTCATAAGAGACGTTCAATTTAACGACAACAATTATTTTCGAGGAAAATTGACACCATTTCATTTTTGTATTCCCTTCCCTTCTTTAACACCCCCCATCCCACCCAGGTCCTCTTACAGCTGCAAGATAGTCGTGCCGCAGCTAAAAAGAAATGCACATTTTTTTTTCTCCAACACATTTACGTGTTTACGTTAAAACCGTCAATACGACGGAGCAGTCTTGAAAATTTTGGAAAGTCTAATATGGTCCTTCTTTAACTAAACTCCTGTCCACGGGAATTGAACGAGAGAATGAGAGAAAACCGAACGGATCAGAGTTAAACTATACGTGTACTTTAAAACGTCTCTATATAGTCCAGTTTCCCCATTCTGTCTTTTCAATTCTCGCGGAATACCCTACGACGGTAAGGGAAGCACTTTTTCGCTTTACGCAAAATAATAAAAAAATAGTAAAAAAAATATCATAATCATAATAATCGTAAAATAAAAAAAAAAGCGAAAAGAAGGATGTGACCGTTGGCGCTTAAGTTAAATAAATCTAAACTAAAAATAATATATACTCCTAACAGTCCCTCCTCTTCGTTTCAAAACTCAAGCATGTACCTACGGACGGGGGGAAAAAAAGAAAAAAAAACGTAAAACAAAAACGAAAGAAAAGGACAAAACAACAGAATAAAAGTAATACAAGAACATAGAAGGAAATATAAGCGTCGAGAATTTAAAATTCATTACCTTAAATCTAAAATGATTAAATATTCCTGATATAAATATTAAACATACAAAATTCCCTCTACGCTCTTTGTACCAAACGTTTAAAATAAAGAATACGGAACCAATTTAACGTGCGAATAATATTTTTCTTCTAAAAAATATAGGTGAACGAAGAAGTAAGAGATTTAAAAAGAGGGGGCTTATTAAAGGAGTGAGAGGGGGAGAGAGAGCGAGAGAGACGGCAAGAGTATTTCGGGGGCTATTGCTTTGCGTACAGATATCAAGACAAAAGGGACTGAAGATACGTAATAATACGATAGTGACACGTAAAAGAGGAGGCGGGAGATGAAATGACGCAAAGCGGCGGGAATAGGGGCAGGTGATTAGGGTGGAGACGTATGCGATGGGAGGGGGATTAATTTTGGATTGATAGTTTTTAGAGTGGAAAGTTATGCCCTAGAGGGGAAACTTAGGATTTAAGAGAACAGAGAGTGAAAGAGATAAATAGCAACGCAAACATTTCTTTATTAGTGGCAGGCGTTAAGGGTGGAAAGTTATGCACTGGTGAGATTTCGGATCTAAGAGAACAGAGTGTAAGACAGATATAAGGCAAGGCAAATATTTCTGTAATAGTGGCGGGTGATTGAGGTGGGTAGTTACGCACGGGGGGGTGGAGGGCAATTTAGGATCCAAATGAGAGAGTGAAAGAGATAGATGGCAACGCAAAGTTATCTGTTAGTGGCAAAGGTTCAGAGTGGAAAGTTATACACTGGAGGGGACATGTAGGATTCAAAGGAAAAGACAGTGAAAGAGAGAGAAGGCAACGCAACGCCGTCTGTTAGTGGCAGATGATTAGAGTGGAGTGTTATGCACTGGAGGGGAAATTTAAAATCCATTAGAAGTACAGAGTGAAAGACATAGCAACGCAAAGCTTACTGTAATAGACGCAGGTGATTAAGGCGGTAAGTAATGCACTGGAGGGATTTAGGATTCCAGAAAGAGAGACAGAAAGTGGGAGAGGGAGACAGAGATAGAGACCCACCTGCTCTGCACGCTGGGCGTGTTGCGGTGCGAGTCCGGCGAGTGGGAGTGGGCGTAGGCGGGCGACGGCGACATGTACGGCGGCAGGGTGGTCACCAGCACGGGCTTCACGTAGCCGTTCTTCAGCATTTCGTTCTCTGGCGTGCCGAAAACGGGAGGCTTTTGTTTTCTTTTATGTGACAAAGTGGCAAACGAGCTGGCGGTTCACCTGATGTTAAGCGATAACTGGACCCATGGACATTGGCAACACCCGTGGGGCTGCGGAAGCGTTGTCACCTTTAAATAAAGTGGGCCCCGGCCACCTCACTCGCCAGACGAAACTCAGAAGCGTAACACTTCCGGCCTTAACACATTAAGCCGGTCTTCTGCGAGGTCGTGGTACTTACCCGGACGGACCTGCCCATTCGTGCAACAGTGAACAACAGTGCGTGGCGGCCCTGCCACAGTTAAAAGCTGTTTCAATATACTCGTGCGACCCGAGTTGAAATCCACACTTTAGTAACACGGCGACTTGAGTAACCAGTGAAATCGTTGGTTCCAATTTGTCACGTGTTCTTTGGTCGAGGAAAGTTTCGAGTTTCGAGTTGATAATAAGAGAAAATATTTTGAAGATCCTCGCAGTGGCTGTACCTTAACTCTTTGTATAAAGGAGGCCTTTGCCCAGCCGTGGGACATATATAGAGTGTTACTTTAGCGGTCCTTATTGTCCCTAGCTGATGGAATATTATTAAGCTGCAGTAGAGAAAAGACGTGCCTTTGATTTTTTTTTCATCATTCATAAAGCTAAAATAAATAACATATTTTTTGTTCGATTTTCAAATGGGCCCCGTTCCGATTGGGCCAGTTTTTTTTACTGAGCCAGTTTTTTTTAATTGGGAAAGTGGCACGCAAACTGGCGGCCCAACCGATGTCAGGCGATAACCGCCGCCCATGGATATTTGCATCTACCGTGGGTTGCAGATGCGTTGCCACCTTTCAACAAAGTGGGCCCCGGCTACCTCACTCACCGGACGAAGCTCGGAAGCTATATACTTCCACTTTACGCCGGTCTTCTGTGAGGTCGTGGCACTCACCCGGACGGGCCTGCCCATTCGTGCAACAGCCGAGGCCACTGCGTGTCCCGTCCCCGCCACCGTTACCATCGGCCCATCGCCAGTTCCACCGTTCAGGGGATCAGGCCTAAGGAGCTCACCGGGCTTCGTGTAGTACTTGGAGAAGACCTCGTCCTTGGGCACGTTGGGGTAGAGGAACTGCAGCTGGGCCAGGTCCAGAACGCGGTCGGCTAGCGAGCGCAGCATCAGGTCGCGGGAGGTGAACGGCTGCAGGCTGAACACCTCGTTGCCCTCTGCGGGTTGAGCAACGTTTCGATGGCGTCGCGGGTTCGATCCCGGACAAGTATTTGCGTGGCCCACGCATCCGTGTGTTTGTCCGCGCGGAATGTATGTTTGTGAACGTAAGGGAAATGTTTTCGCGAAAAACAAAAAAAAGCAAGGGGTGACGTCATCGGACACACACACACACACACACACACACACACACACACACACACACACACACACACACACACACACACACACACACACACACACACACACACATCACACATCGGACGCGACGGCGTGTGACGTCATCGGACGCGAGGCATAAGCGAGCGGTGACGTCATCAAATCAAATTATTTATTCATAAACATAAGGAACATACATTAAATTTCATCTATCGATAGTGATTGATTTTTTTTAAACTACGACCGCTTCGTAACGAGGTTCCTCTGACGGAGAAGAAACAGCCAAAGGAATCTCGGTAGGCGTCCTCCCTTTTGTCATTTTCCCCCGAAAAAAACATAAAAATATCATTAATTTTTCTTCTTTTAGAAATAGCTTGACAGCGATCAAGTCGATCATTCCCAGGGTTTATTGTCATCACGTACGCGACGGCTTTAGCAAGGGGTGACGTCATCGTGCACGACGGCTAAGCCTTTGCGATGATGCATGCGTTTCAATTCGTTTGGATCGTCTCAGAAAGCAGCATCTAATAAAATTAGTGAAATGGGTAGCTTTCACTAATTTTATGACCTCCCCTGAAAAAGTATTTACATAAAAGTTGACTGGAAGAAGTGACTTGAAGTGGTAGATTTTTTGTTGACGTTCAATAAGAGCTTAAGTTAGGCCTATATTGAATAAATATACTTTGACTTTGAGTTTGAAGTAATAAGGCCGCTCGTGTACTTTAACTAAGTGTTTGAAGCGTCTGTTCGCGAATCCTGCAGAAGTGGGTTCGATTCCCGGGGCGGCGAAAAACTTTTTCCTACAAAATCCATTATACGCACAAATTATCTCCTTCTATGGCGGGCTCATCTTTTTTTTTTTTTTTTTTTATGTGAAAAGTTGCCAAACGAGGAGACGGTTCACCTGATGTTAAGTGAATACCGCCGCCCATGGACATCTGCTACACCCGAGGGTTACAGATGTGTTGACCTTTTGAAAATTGGGCTCCGGCCACCTCACTCACCAGACGAAACGCGAAAGTATTATACTTCCACTTTACGCCGGTCTTCTGTGAGGTCGTGGTACTTACCCGGACGGGCCTGCCCATTCGTGCAACAGCCGAGGCTGCTGCGTGGCCCTGCCACCGTAAAATCATCTTCTGGAACTCACCCCCCGTCCAGGCGATGGTGATACCGCCGAGCTCGGAGTCAGAGAAGCGCAGAAGGAAGGTGCCGGGCGGGCACTTGGCCAGCATCTCCTCGGCCTGCTTCTTCTGGATGAAGCCCATGATCAATCTAGAAGATGGAGGAGCGAACGTTAAGCGAAAGGAAGGGGCCGAATGGAGATTTATTTTAAAAGTAGGTGCTTCTCAATTAGACTGTATTTTCTTTTGTGTTTGTTACCTCGGAACTTTTAATTGAGTAAACCGATTTTGATGAATAATTTTTTTTTGTTTCAAAGCTGTTGCTTCCCATGTGGTCCCATGATACTTTCATTAGTATTGGATCTCGGGCTCCGGAGATACTAAGGGAGCTTATGAAAATCAATTGTTTAACGAATACAGAGATACTTGCAAATCGGTTTTGTTTTTCGATATTAAAAAAAAATGGTTATTGTACATGTATTTTGTGTGGAAGGGGTCGGGTAGTAAGCTCCCTTCGCGAAGATTGCCCCTTACTATGGGATAATATTGTCCTGTGTTGTAAAGACGTTTCACATACGTAAATTTCACACGGACAAAAGCCCATATAAGTAAAGTAAAGTAACAGCCTATACATGTCCCACTGCTGGGCAAAGGCCTCCTCTGTACAGAGGAAATCAGGGCATAGTCCACCACGCGGCCCCACTGCGGATTGGCGGACTTCACATATCTTCGAAATATTTATTTTTTTGTTATTATTTCTAAAATATGCAGGTTTCCTCACGATGTTTTCCTTCACCGCGGAGCACGTGATAAGTCAGCACTTAAAGTTAAAAACCTCATTGGTGCCGGCACCGGGGATCGAACGCGGGTTGCTCGAGTATATTGAATTAAAGGCGAGCGCCCGGATACTGAGCTATCACGGCCCATATACGAAGCAATTATCAAACGTATTTTTTTTAATCCGTCCCGTTCGTGTGGGAATCGAACCCACGAGCCCCGGAGCCGAAGCCGATTACTTGGCGACGTCCAATTAGAACGTGGGAGTATGGACATTGCACTCGCATCCATTTTCCTCATCTTCTGTCACTTCTGACGCCTCTCTTGAAACCAACCAGCCGACCTTTGGCCTTCCTCCGCGTCAAGGTAATGTAATCTCGGGCGGTGTGTATGACCAAATAGACAGGTCTGTCCCGGAAAGTACCACAACCTCACAGAAGACCAGCGTGAAGTGACAGTGTTAGTAGTGTAACATACACACAAACATATGCACACACATATATAGGCACTGGATAGATAGATTGTCTGTTCACTGGGTTGGGTCGTTCGTGGCACACATGGAGTAAATTTATGCCCGGTTCCTATATTCAACGAACGGCCGCTCTTTTTTTTTTTTTTTTTTTTTTTTTTTTTTTCAAAACACTGCCCTTACTTTAGGATAATATTATCCTGTTGTAAAGGACGTTTTACAAACATAAATTTCACGCGGACAAACACCCAGATGCGAAAAAACTATCTGTGGGTCACACAAATAGTTGTCCCGTGTGGGAATCGAACCCACGACCCCCGACGCCGAAGCCAATATTAGGCAACTGCGACACGGAGTCACCTAAAAGCCGTTAGTTACATAGCTTTGGAACTTACACAGCGACTTGTAGATAAAAGGCGTGTACGGTTCCTATATTAGCAAAACGAGGCGTTTAACTTACGAGCCGTTGCATTAACTACGAAAACCGAGTAACCAGCGTTCCTTTAATCTACAAGTCGTCATGAAAGTTGCGAAGCTATTTAACTAGCGGCCGTTCGTTGAATATAGGAACCGGACATAAATCGACATGCCAGTCGCCTTGGATGGTGGGGCGAGGCAACTGTCTTTGATGTCGCATGGTTATGCGGGCTTGTCTGGGACAGTACAGTGATTGACGCACGAGTTTCAGACTTAACTTTTGTTTTTCTGGAGGAATCCAGTGAGTTAGGCAGCCGGGCCCCACTTTATTAAAAGCTGGCAGCCGCACGGGCGTTGCAAATGCCTTACGTTTTTGTCTCGATTAGTCGCTTGCCATCGCTTTATTGAAAGCCGAGCCAGTGTAAGTAAGGACCCTCACCGGTCGCACCACAAGGTCCTCAGGTAGTCCCTGGTGACCTTGACCACCATGTAGAACCACTCCCAGAACGTGAAGTTCCTCTCCGGCAGCGCGTCCTTGCAGAACTGGGTCCAGCTGACTGTCATGGCGTTCAGCTCCATCGTTGACATTGGAAGGCTGGTCCTAGGGCAGGGTACACATTCAAATGTTTACATACATTACACTCGCTTCGGTGGCAGGGCCACGCAGCAGCTTCGGCTGTTGCACGAATGGGCAGGCCCGTCCGGGTAAGTACCACGACCTCACAGAAGACCGGCGTAAAGGGGAAGTATAATACTTTCGCGTTTCGTCTGGTGAGTGAGGTGGCCGGGGCCCAATTTCCAAAAGGTTGCCGACGCATCTATAACCCTCGGGTGTAGCAGATGTCCATGGGCGGCGGCATTCACTTAACATCAGGCGAACCGTCTGCTCACTTGGCAACTTGTGACATAAAAAAAAGAACTCATAGCCGGGAGCAAGATGTTTGAAGAGCCAATGGAGATGAGAAATTTAATTTTTATTTTTAGTCCACGTTTCTGCACTCAAGATGTAACTTTAAAGTGTAAATTTGACCACAAGTGTTTATATGTGTGCAGAGATTGGCACTAGTGCAGATATTAGCATTTAAAATAAGAAATTAATCCTAAAAAGGATGGTCACCTGAAAATCTTCTCCGCGAGGAACCTCAGGTTGTCCTCGGACAGGTCCCCACCGGTGGCGGAGCCGAACTTGATGCGGAGTGTCTCAGCCAACTGGCCCCACGTAACCTGCACAATGAAATAGCAACTATAACCGGATGAAACTTAAGCGATAATAATTTTATAGTGATACTGGCTGATCCGGCAAACGTTGTTCAGCCATATAAATTATTTGTAGGATAGAAAAAAATGTTAGGGGTATTAAAAATAGATTACAACCAATTCTCAGGCATACCAAATATGCATATAATCCGTTTTGGAAGAGAATGACACAAGTCACAATGTTAGTAATTTTGCTATACCTGTATGGATTCTATGCACATCAATATAAAATTAAAAATTTTAAAACCTATCTACCAACTCGGTTCTCTGCTTATTTTTTCCCAATTGTGTTTTATGTCGGAGAGCCATAAATGCAATGATGTTATATACAAATACGTGGTGGTTATGACACTAGGGCACCAAAGTCAAAAGTTGGAGGACCCACGCCTGCGGGCGTGTGTACTAACAACCGAATGGTATACCTCTTTTCCGATGTCGATTGAAAACCGAGACGCCTCCGCCCAACCGTGGGGAAGTAGGTTTTCTCTTTTTATTGAACGGTTTTATTTAGCTCGACACGTACGGAATTTATTTTACTTGGGTCAAAATTAGAAATTGAAATTTAAGCACCTTCCTGTTGTCAGATTGATCTGAAATTTGGTACACACATTTAATTTAGATGACAATATAATATTGTAGTTTTCAGTGCACAAAAAAAAAAAAAAAAAAAAAAAAAAACAGAAAATAAAACCGTTTAACTTAAAAGTTTTTAAACGGTCTTATTTCCTCTTTTGTTTTGAAAAATACATATTGCCCTGACTTTAGGATAACATTATCCTGTGCTGTGAGGAAGTTTTACAAACATAAATTCCACGCGGACAAACACCCAGATGCGAAACAACTATCTGTGGGTCACACAACTAGTCGTCCCGAGTGGGGATCGAACCCACGACCCCGACGCAGAAGCCAACACCGTGGCGACTGCGCCACAAAGCCATCAAGTTCCTCTCTTTATCATATCTGTCTCTTATTATTTGAAATGAAATAATTTCTTACCCGTCTCCTATTGTCTTGTTTACGTGTGGCTCTCTTAGCCTACTAACTAGTCGTGGTGGGTGTGGGTGTGGGCGTGGGCGTGGGCTCACCTTGTCGGGCACGGCGAAGGGCACGCGGCCGGGCGGGCTGAAGGCGTTGTCCCACGTGACGGTCGCCCAGCCGTGGGGCTCCTGGTTGCCGTGCACGATCACCACCACCGGCAGCGACAGCGTCCACACCTGCAACGCCGCCACGTCGGTATTCATAAAAATATCCATATCGGCCTCGACATACCGAAGAGAACTGTTTAACCTTAAACTTGCACAAACAATTGCCAAAACTTTTCCCCGCTGCCAGGATTCGAATCCGAGGATTTCGTATTCCTCCCTTCTGGACGCGTACCAGGCGCTCCAGCCACTAAGCTAAGTGGTGGACATCCTCACTGCACGTAAATCTGGACGCATTGTCTGCTTTGTTTTTAATGCATTTTCAGCAACGCTAGGGTCATCAGAGCTGCCAAGTGTAAAGGCAGCACTGACGACCCTTCAGTTTCCTAAGGTAAAGCATCATTTCCTTATATAACCATGATTCTGCTACGGATGCAATATTGTCGAGTAACCAGAGTAAAATCCCTGTGCCGACCAATGAAATTGTTGACCATGCAATTTTGAATACCAATTGGAGCACATAATTTTTCTTATGGGAAATTTCTCACACTTATAGTTTATATACAGGAGTGCAGAATAATATTTTTATAATTATGCATAAAAATGAAAAAAATGTATTAAATCAATAGATACTATGAAAAACATTACACACACTACAATGTATAATTAATTATGCTCGAATCACCACCACTGGCCGAGCACTAGTAACATGAAATAAAGAAACATCAGTTGGAATCGTGCTAGACAAAAGGTTTTCTCTATACACAGGGTATAGGGGCATTGTCCCACTGTGGATTGGCACGTAATTCAAACAATTATTTTCATGTTTTATTTAGAAAATATGCAGGATTCCTCACGATGTTTTCCTTCACTGCAGAGCATGTGAAAAATTCGGCACTTAAAATTCAAATAAACAATTTCTTTTGTGCCCGCATGGGATTTGGAACTTGAGTTAATCTTTGATTGATTGACTTGAGTTACTTCTCGATGCGATTCTTCGACTGGCAAAAATTTTGGCTTTGCCTACACAGGCTTTGCCTACAATGCATTGGCACTTTCGGTAATTCTGTTTGTCAATAAACGTATATTTATATTTTTTCTGCCACGCAGCAGCCTCGGCTGTTGGCACGAATGGGCAAGCTCATCCTGGCAAATACCACGACCTCATAGAAGACCGGCGTGAAGTGAAAGTGTAATACATTCACATTTGTCTGGTGAGTGAGGTGGCCGGTGTCCAATTTTAAAAAGGCTGTCAACGCATCTGCAACCCTCGGGTGTAGCACATGTCCATGGGCGGAGGTATTCACTTAACATCAGGTGAACCGCCTGCTTGCTTGGCAACTTTTCACATAAAAAAAGTATATGAGTTAAAACCGCCCGGACACTGTGCTATCACGGCTCGGTACGGTTCCACCAGCTCCTGGTTCCAGTGGCCACCAGCCACCTTCCACCTTCCACCGTCACCTGGAAGACCAGCTCGCCGCCGCCCACGTTGAACTCCGACTGGAACAGCAGGGTCAGCTTCTCGTCCATCACGCTCTCCGTGCCCTTCTTCTCCGCCCTCTTGATCTTGCGCAGCTGCATGTTCCTGCGGTGAAGAAGGTAATTCAGTTACGAGGAAGAATAAGATTCCGATGAGACAGAGACTTTCTTATCACGAAAGCAAAGCATGTTCCTGTAATGTGGATGGTAATTCAGTTAATGGTATAATGCAGTCATTTATATGCTTTTGGTAATTCAGTAATGAGGAAGTATATATTATTCTGATCAGACCGAGACTTTCTTATCATGAATACAGAACCCTGAAGTTGCTGTAATGTAGACATGTAAGTAATTCAGTAGATGGGTAAGGTAATCATTAACTCTACACCATGTTAAAAGCATATATGCTTTTTACATGGTGTAGACTTGTTACAAATCTATACAGATAAATAAAATTGGAGTCTCTGTTTGTAATATTAAAATAACCGCTTTTTATTAAATGCATATGGATGTATACACGGTACATATACCAAAATAACATTTTTTACAATTTTTGTCCGTCTGTCTGTCTGTCTGTTCCGGCTAATCTCTGAAACGGCTGAACCGATTTGGATGGGACTTTCACGGGCAGATAGCTGATGTAATAACGAGGAACTTAGGCTACTTTTATGTTACATTTTTTTTTAAATTCCACGCGGACGAAGTCGAGGGCACAGCTAGTCATTAATAATGTCGAGGGCACAGCTAGTCATTAACTAGATGTTAGGCAAATTTTTAAATTGATTGCAAAATATTAATGCAAAATAATTATGGACTCAAGTCACTTTACTACTTAGAAGCCCAAGTGATGGCTCAGTGTTCGGGCGCTCGCCTTAAATTCAATATACTAGATATACGATCCCTGGTTAGGGCATTAATGAAATTGTTAATTTTAAGCACTGACTTATCACGTGCTCAGCGGTGAGGAAGCCTGAACCACCACACTTTCGACATAATACAAAAAAAAAATGTCTCGAAAATGTTTGAAGTCCGCCAATCCTCACAATACCCTCTGTATTGATGAGGCCCTTGCCCAGCAGTGAGACATTTGTAGGCCGTTACTTTACTTTCACTTAACTTTTATTACTATTCTATTTGTACCACATGAGCCGTGATAGCTCAATGTCCGGGCGCTCGCCTTTGATTACATTTACTCGAGCAACCCGAGTTCGATCCCCGGTGCCGGCACCAATGAAATTGTTAATTTCAAGTGCTGAATTATCACGAGCTCGGCGGTGAAGGATAACATCGTGAGGAAACCTGCAAATTCTCGAAATAATAATAAAAAAAAAATATTTCGTACTCCCCGACCCTCTCTACGAAGGCCTTTGCCCAGCAGTGGGACATGTACAGCCCGCTAGTTAACTAGCACTTAACTGTTATAACTACTATTAATATCACCTGAAGCTGACGCTGAGCTGCCTACTCGTAGGCTGGTACTCCATGCAGCCGCTGTTGTTCAGGATGTCTCCGCACTCCACCGGCTGCTTGCCACGGCCGGTCTGCGTGTCGCTCTTCAGCAGCAGCTGCGCCTGCTGCTCCGATATTATCACCACCTGGAATGTGACGAGGTCGGTTTTTTTTTTAATTTTTACACATACATTCATTCCTTTATGATTTTTTGAATATAGCAAATTATTCAACGCAGTCTAGATTTGCGCAAAATCAATCTATGATTTATTTGACGACAGTCTATCTATAAACAGTTACTCGCATTTAAAATAATAATAATAATAAAATATCTTTATTCACATAGACGCTTGCGCGTTCTTATGAAACGTCAAAATTTTACAAGAAATTAACACGTTCGTAAGTTACCACCGGTTCGGCAAGCAGTTTCTGTTGAGAAGAAACCGGCAAGAAACTCAACAGTTGCTCTTTTTTAAATTAAATTTCATTTCAATTAAAATTTAATTAAAAATTTCAAATTAAATCAATTAAAAAATTTCATCTTGAGTGCAGATAAACACAAACAAGTAATTTTTTTTATTAACGAGAAACAAAACCGATTTCAAATATCTCGCTCTGTATTCATTTTATAATTGATTTTCAGGATTTCCCCGAGTATCTCCGGAGCCCAAGATCCAATACCAATGAAATTAATATGGGACCACATGGGAAGCACCAGCATAAAAACTATTCCTAGACTAAGAATTGGTAAACTGGAATTCAAACCACTCACCGTCACCCTGGGCGGTGTCATGTGAACATTCAGCTGACCGCCAACCAGCAAGCGTACTGTAGCTGTGAATCTGTAAAAACATAAAGGATTAATATAGCGGAGCTTAACATACTTTTAGGGGTACGGACTGTGGTCTTCTTCTTCTACCTGGCACTAACTCCGGCTACTGCCAGGGTCTGTCTTCCCACTTGAACTCCTCTACTGCCCGATCTTCGACATCCGCAGGGGTCAGCCACAGGCTCCATTGCTTACACGGTAGTGACCGTGGTATACTGTTCTTAAGTGTTGGAATAATGGCAGACAACACCCAAGCCTAATTTAAAAAAAAATAGTTCTTTTCTTCGCCGACCGTGGCGCTTTTTATTATGAGTTATCCGTTTTTTTCGTCGTCATCTTATTGAAAACGTTGTTGTAACTTTTTGGTGACTAATACATGTTTTAATCAATTCTATTTTTGCTGTATTCATTTAATTTCCTTCATTAAGTTACCACAGTTTGACAATTAGCTACCACGTCCCGACAATGAGCTATCACGGCTCATCACCTCGTCAACTTGGAGGTTTTTTTTTTATGTGAAAAGATGCCAAGCGAGCAGGAGGTTCACCTGATGTTAAGTGAATACGGACTGTGGTAGGGCCACGCAACAATCTTCACTGTTGCACGAATAGGCAAGTCGATACGGGCAAGTACCACGACCTCACAGAAGACAGGTTAAGTGAAAGTGACTTAAGCTGGTGGTTCACCTGATATTAAGTGATAACCGCCGCCCATGGACATTTTCAACACCCGTAGGATTGCAAATGCGTTGCCACCTTCAAATAAAGTGGGCCCCGGCTACCTCGCTCACCGGACGAAAGGCAGAAGAGCAACACTTCACACCAGTCTTCTTTGAGGTTGTGGTGCTTACCCGGACGAGCCTGCCCATTCGTGCAACAGCCAAGACTGCTGCTCGGCCGTTGCCACCGTAATTCTCTCAATATCACATCTCCACAAAGGAACACAAAAACCAATCACACAAACTTTAGCCGTACATAATACTAGTGTGATATTACCATGAGCTCATTGCCTCTAAAATTTTAGTTAATCCGGAGTGAAGAGTTACAAAAAGGCACTCACCGAGTGTTAGTCTTCATCACCTGGGGCGGTTGCTTCTCTATCACGAAGGTGGACGTCACCAGGGTGGAGAGGAGGCTGGTCACCTGGAAATGGACAATAAAGCATGAGTACTATTATAAATATGTATCTATGTAAGCAGCGTGTCGTTACAACCGCGACAATGAATGAACACACGTCTAACGCCGCTAAAAAAATCCATAATAAAAAAAAATTTTTAAACAAACTAATTAAATAAAAAAGAAACAATTTGTAGCATCCTATAAAATATCAACTGACTGATTCATACATTCAGAGACTGTTTCATTCGTTGCCACAGCGTCGCATTACAAGCGTCTCCTTCTAACAGTATGTTTTATCTCTTTTAAATTCATTCAACCCATTCATATGCTTTGTGACCTTTACAAATGAACTTTACGTTACAGTTTTATACGTAAGGGTGTTCTAAAATTGTTTGTTTTGGAAAATTTAATAACTCGGTAAATATTGATGTTTAAAGAATGTAAATGTTTAATACAATTTTAATAAGTTATCCTCTATATGTGTATTGATTTATGGTCGCGTAAGTAGCGCGTAAGTAGGTCATCTTAGTGTTTCTTAATTTCAAAATAACAAATGAAAAAACCATCCAAGTATAGGTCGGACTCGCAAATAAAGGGTTTCGTATCATCCTTGCTAATATTATAAAGTCGGAAAGTTTGTACGTATGGATGGAGGTTTGTTACTCTTTCACGCAAATACTACTGAATGGATTTTAACGAAACTTTACAATAATATAGTTTATATATCAGAATAAGACATAGGCTATAATTTATATACATATTTTTATGTATATCTGTCTTTCTGTCTGAATGTTACCCCTAGCCTATTCTACGCAGACGTAGTCGCGGGCAGCAGCTAGTTATATACAATAATGCCAAAAAAATAAGGGAAAATAAAATTACATATAGTGATATCGACGTATATATGACCCATTGCTGGGAAAAGGCCTTCTTTGACAGAGGGATATTTTTTTTAGTCATTTCGAGATTATTCATTAGATATAACTGGAGTATAATGAATTAATAGCGAGCGCCTGGTCAAAGCGTCAAATTCAAATTGAAAATAACTTTACATAGACACATATGAAACTTTAATTTTAACTTCGAATTTTACATAGAAATTGATACATTCTTAAGTGTGTGAACCGTGGTAGGTTTGACAATTAACTATCACGGCTCGACAATGAGCTATCACGTCCCGGCAATGAGCTATCACGTCCCGGCAATGAGCTATCACGTCCCGGCAATGAGCTATCACATCCCGGCAATGAGCTATCACGTCCCGGCAATGAGCTATCACGTCCCGCCAATGAGCTATCACGGCTCATCACCTCATGGAGGTTTTTTTCATAATGTGAAAATTTGCCAAGAGAGCAGGTGATCTGAGCACCTGATGTTAAGTGAATACCACCACCCATGAACATCTGCTAAACCTCAGGGTTACAGACAACCTTTTGAAAATTGGGCTCCGGCGACCTCACTCACCAGACGAAACGCGAAAGTATTCGTCATACTTCCACTTAACGCTGGTCTTCTGTGAGGTCGTGGTATTTACCCGGACGGGCCTGCCCACCCGTGCAACAGCCGAGGCCACCGTCAACCCACCTGCTTGCTCATGTCGTCCAGCATCTCGACCAGGTGCGGCTGCCGCAGCTCCACGATGGTCTTGCTGTTGATGCGCGCCACGTTGTTCACCTGCTGGCGGCTGGTCCAGATCAGGTCGGCGAGCATCTCGCACCACTCCTGGATCGTGTTCAGGTTCGACTGCATCGGCACGCCGTTGCCGCTCAGCTGCTGCTCGCGTTTCCACCTAAGGTGATTATTCAAAAGAATAAAAACCATCTTCGCTGTTGCAAGGATGGATAGGTCTGTCCGGGTAAGTACCGTGACCTAAATATCAGGTGAACTGGCACCTCGCTTACCATCTTCACTACATAATATAAAACAAAGTGGTCCCACTGTCTGTCTGTCCCTATATATGCTTAGATCTTTAAAACTACGCAACGTATCTTGATGTTTTTTTTTTACTAGATAGAGTGATTCAAGAGGAAGGTTTATAGGTATAATACATTGCACCCGTGCGAAGCCGGGGCGGGTCGTTAGTCTAATATAAAGAAAATAATTTTCGATGCCTCCGTGGCGCAGTTGCCAAGGTATCGGCTTTATCTGTTGCAACTTGTACTACTGCGATTTGTCTGTTGAGTGAGGTAGAAGGGCGGCGGTATTCAAATATTTTAAAATATTTTAGGGCACATTAAATAAATATTTTAAGACACATTCTTTTTACACAACACTCTCTAGTCCCAAACTAAGCAATGCTTGTACTATGGGTACTAGAAAACTGATAGACATACTTAAACATACTTTTCTTTTGTAAATAAATACACATTATACATACATAAACACCCAGACATTGGAAAAACACTATGCTCAGCACACAACATTTTTCCAGTAGTGGGGATCGAACCCACACCCTCTGGCGCAGGAGGCAGGTACACTACCGACTACGCCATTCGGGTCGTCGACTTCACTTAACATTAGATGCCGGACGGACCTACCGATTCGTGCAACAGCGAACACTGCTGCGTGGCCGCACCGTTGCCACAACACAATATACAAATGCGTTGCCACAGTTAGGACTGCTCTATCTTCTTCAAGACATCAGTTCCTTTCTGGTCATTAGCATGATTTTCAACTAGGGTTTCGTTGTGCCGTATTAAGGATCCAAATGCGTGCCCAGCAGTGGGACGCCCTTACTTTATCAGCTCCTCGTCCAGCACCTGGCTCTGCAGCTGGCGGAGGTTCGCGATGTTGTCCTTCATGCGGTCCACCAGCTCCATCTGGGACTGGTTGATTTGGGCGACCTAAAGCGGGGAAACAAGGGGAAAATAAACATTTCCCTTACTGCAGGATAGCATTATCCTTGTCTTGTAAAGACGTTTTACAAAAATTGATTTCACGTGGATTTAAACCCAGATGCGAAACAATTATCTGTTGGTCACACAAATAGTTGTCCCGTGTGGGAATCGAACCCACGACCCCCTAGGCCGAATCGATGCCTTGGCAACTGCGCGCCACAAACCGCTTTGGGGCCACGTGGTTGAATATACCCCGATACCCTCTGTACAGAGGAGGACATGTATATAGGCTGTTAATTTACTTTTTTTAGGGTTCCGTACCTTAAAAGGTAAAAAGGCACCCTTATACCTCTTGTCTGTCTGTCTGTCCGTGTGTTACCACCGACTTTCTCAGGAACGGGTGGAAATTCATACCAGACACCTAGGTCTACAGTCCCTATTAGGTGTAGAAAATTCAAGCTCCTAAGTATCTGATATACATTTCAACTTGCCAGGTCCACCCGTTCCCGAGAAAAACGCTGTTGATTATTTACCAATTTTTTTATGGCGGTACAATGGGTCGGTACCGAACCTTGTCCGGTTTTTTTTTAAGGTGAAGAATGGTTACCAGAGCATTCAGCTTCCTCTCCATATCCTCGATCTGCACCCGGAGACAGGCCTCCAGCTCGCGGCGCTCCGCGGTGATCGGCCCCGACTGCTGCAGGTAATTCATGTGGCCTGATAGAGAGAACAAAGGTCACAACACAACCATCTCTTTGTGACCCTACAGCGAAGGAAGGGACCGTAGCTACCTGTGGTGTAAGCACGTTCTAGATTCAGATATTTCACACGGCCACATATTGATTATCTATATATATATAATTCCTCCGTACGTGTGTAAGTCACTGAACTCCTCTTAAATGGCTGGGCTGATTTTAATGAAATTTTTTGTGCGTCTTCAGGCCGATTCGATAATATTTAGATTCGCATTTCATTCTTTTTTGTTCTCTTTTTTACTTACAAGCTGTTGTCGGATTTAAGTAGCGTGTACAGGACAACGTCTGTTGGTTCCTCTAGTATCGAATAAAGACATTTGAATTTGAACTAACTATGGGGAGAATATTAGTAGAACGGTTTCGGATGTAATGAAATAAGTAACATGTGACATTCACCTTTATTCTTCAGGCACTCGTGATACTGGAGGGAGAAGGACTCTATGTTGGCTTGGAGGCTCCTGATCTCCTCGCTGGCCATGCTCACCTTCTGGCGGACGTTTTGCAGACCGGTGATCAGCTGGAATAGGAGTTGTGTTCTAACGTTAGCGATACCCTCAACATAATTATGTAATCATAAAAGGGAAGAAGAACAATTTAAATGAACTCCCCAATGGCCTAACGAGTTACCTTGCTCCTTTCGTCAGAGGATGTGGGTTTCGATCCCCCCAATACTGTGATGATCATAGTGTTTTTCTAGTCTAGGCGTTTATATATTTGTAACGTGTATTTATTTACAAAAAAAAATATGTTTATCTGTTATCTAGTACCTATAGTACAAGCGATGCTTGGTTTGGGGCTGTGTTAAAATGTGTCCGGACCTGTACGGACCTATCCGGACCGGTCCGGATAGGTCCGGACAGGTCCTATATCAATAAATTTTAGTGCGCTCATATACACAATTCTTCTTCGTATGTCAAAAAGTGGCAACGATGTTAAGTGATAACCGCCGCCCATGGACATTTGCAACCCCCGTAGGCTTCCAAATGCGTTCCCACCTTTCAATACAGTGGGCCCCGGCTACCTCACTCGCTAGACGAAAAGCAGTGATGTAACACTTCTACATCAGTGGACACTGTTGCGTGGTCACCACAGTAGAAAGGGACGGTGGCTCACCTCGCTGTACTTCCGTTCGGTGTGCGGCTGCGCCACGTACGGCGTGCCCATCGCGTTCTGGATCACCTCCATCTCCAGGGCGAGGCAGCGCCGCAGGTAGGCGTACAGCTTATGGGGCTCGTGGCTGTAGGGACAGGTGGATACGCGGTGAGGACAATGGTATGAACCGGCCAAGTTTTTTTTTTATGTCAATAGTTGCCAAACGAGCAGGTGTTCATCTGATGTTAAGTGAATACTGCCGCCCATGGACATCTGCTACACCCGAGGGTTGCAGATGCGTTGGCAGCCTTTTGAAAATTGGGCTCCGGCCACCTCACTCACCAGACGAAACGCGAAAGTATTATACTTCCCCTTGACGGCGGTCTTCTGTGAGGTTGTGGTACTTACCCGGACGGGCCTGCCCATTCGTGCAACAGCCGAGGCTGCTGCGTGGCCCTGCCACCGCCTAAGTGCGAGTCGGACTCGCGCTCGAAGGGTTATTATTGTTAAATAGATTCCATTATCTATAAAAACCGGCAAGTGCTAGTTGGATTCGCGCACGGAGGGTTCCGCACCATTATCTACGAAAACGGCAAAGAAATCATGTCTGTTGTATGGGAGCCCCGCTTAAATATTTTATTTTATTTTGTTTTTTAGTATACAGGGTGGCTTTTCTAAAGTGCCCAAATTCACACAGGAGGTTCAGACTCGGTAGTATAATCATTTATTGAAATAAGTTAAGTAACACCCTATACATGTCCCACTGCTGGGCAAAGGCCTCCTCTATACAGGGTATCAGGGCAGAGTCCACCACGCGGCCCCACTGCGGATTGGTGGACTTCACATATTTTCGAAATATATATTATTTGTTATTATTTCTAAAATATGCAGGTTTCCTCACGATGTTTTCCTATACCGCGGAGCACGTGATAAGTCAGGATTAAAGTTAAAAACTTCATTGGTGCCGGCACCGGGGATCGAACTCAGGTTGCTCGAGTATATTGAATTAAAGGCGAGCGCCCGGACACTGAGATATCACGGCTTTATTGAAATAAAAACAAACACTTTTTTTTAAACCCTGAAAAACCGAATTCATTGACAATGCGGTAGTCATTCATAAATGCGTCGTAAACTTTTGAAACGAACTTGTGGGCGTTAGTTACGAATGATTGCGCGTAAAATAAATGAGTTACCCATAAATCACGCACTTGATTTATGGGTTTGAGATAAGTTCAAATGAATGTATTTTATTAATTACGAGTGATTTTAAATATTTATAATTTTTTATGTCTATAATTTAATAAAAAAAATGGATACACTTAGAAAAACCTCCCTGTATGTTGTTATAGCGGCAACAGAAATACATCATCTGCGAAAATTTCACCTGTCTAACTATCACGGTTCATGAGATACAACCTGGAGACAGACGGACAGACAGACAGCGGACGCTTAGTTATAAGGCCCCGTTTTACCCTTTGAGTACGGAACCCTTAAAATCATATCTGTTGTGTGCGGGCCCCATTTAAATGTTTTTTATTCTGTTTTTTAGTACTTGCTGCCATAGCGGCAACAGAAATACATCATGTATGAAAATTTCAACTGTCTATATCACAGTTCATGAGATACAGCCTGGTGACAGACAGCGGAGTCTTAGTAATAGGGTCCCATTTTACCCTTTGGGTACGGAACCCCAATCGGTCCAGTTGGGGCGGTCTATCCTGAACATGAATGGATGAGTAAGTAGTTCAGGGAAGTGCATAATCCCAGAGGACCGGCGTGAAGTGGAAATAATTTGACGTTGTGGAAGTGATGATTTTGATGACCCCGTGACGCAGTTGCCAGGATATCGGTTTCGGCGTTCGGGGTCGTGGGTTTTATTCCCACACGGGACAACTATTTTGTGTCACCCACAGATGGTTGTTATGTATCTGGGTGTTTGTCCAAGTGAAATTTGTACGTGTAAAACGTCCTTACAACACTGGATAATGTAATGTTTTTGAAAAGAAGGCTACAAACTACAATAGATCCACGTCACGGTGGTCGTTACCACCCAACCCTCTCCACGCAAAATCAAATACAAAAACAATACGAGGTAACACAGACGCGGGCATACACACACACAAGTCAATCACTTAATCTTTCTTTTTGACTTCACCGCAGTTATATCAAAAAGCGTGTCTGTTTGTGCTTCTAAGCGCATTTTTGCGTTCCATTTCGCTGATTTCGCACGATGTGTTTTCTCTTTCTTTCTCTCTATCTCACTCTCTCCTTTTCACCCTATCTCACTCTCTCCTTTTCACTCTCTCTCTCTCTCTCTCACTCTATCTCTTTCACTCTATATCTCTCTCTCTTTCACTCTATCTCCCTCTCTTTTACTCTATCTCTATCTCATTCTCACTCTATATCTATCACACTCTATATCTCTCTCTCTCACTATATATCTCTCTCTCTCTCACTCTATATCTCTCTCTCTCTCTCACTCTATATCTCTCTCTCTCTTACTCTATATCTCTCTCTCTCACTCTATCTCTCTCTGTTTTCAGCGCCCTTTACGACACATACCTGTACTGAACGCGGAAGTTGTTGGCTGCCTCCTTCAATTTCATCTGCGTGACGAACATCTCCGGCGAGAGCATCAGGTCGGCGTTCGTCTGGATCTCCTGCACCAGCTCCTCGACGAAGTAGCGCTGCTGCTCCTCCGGCTCCGAGGTCCTGAGCGGAGTGGAGAGGGGGGGAGTGGGGTCAGCTCTGGGTTACAGACATATACATAGACACGCGGAGACGAGGCGATCGGGGGTAGGGTGTCCACGGGGCGGACATGCTCGGGGATATTTTTAAGAATTTGATTCTAAATCTGAATCTGATACGTGCTTGTGACCTCATTTTTTTTAAACATTATTAGACACTTTTTCAAATTCCTGCCTCACCGTCACGATGCAATAAACTGTTCACGAGCACTGAACGCATAATTACAAAACCGCTTATCAATAGGGTGACCACTCTTAACGGGATAAACAAACAATGTTTGAATTGATATTTTTCTGGTTATTTCTTGTCAAAATAAAATATTAACATTTTGAACTATGGAATGCTCAATTAACATTATGTCAACGTACGTACTACGGATAATATGTGAAGCAGAAACTTTGTACCCCGTTTTACTGACATTACGCGCACGGAATTGCAAAGTCAAATCTATATGGAGGAATGTAGAAAGCTAATATTTTGTCGGGTAATCTATGTCGGGTCCGCAATACTATAAAAAATATAAATGTATTGATAAACATACTAACATATAAATATACATTAAAAATTTGTATCATGTGGTATTAGTGAACAATTTTCTGACCTTCACCAAACGTGCCTGAAAAAAATGCGTTCTCTTACCAGATCCGGCTCTCAATCCATGACGCGAGACAGTGTCTCACTTCTATTGGGAAATGGTCACCGTAGATGGCCCGCACCTGTTGATAGGGGGCCAGTGTTACCAGCTGTTAATTTTTTTTTTATGTGAAAAGTTGCCAAGCTAGCAGACGGTTCACCTGATCACCTGATGTTAAGTGAATACCGTCGCCCATGGACATCTGCTACACCCGAGGGTTCCAGATGCGTTGACAACCAAAAAAAATTGGGCTCCGGCCACCTCACTCACCAGTTTTACCATACCTTTTTCCATTTTAATTATTCACACACGTTGCTGAGCCGTGATAGCTCAGTGTCCGGGCGCTCGCCTGTAATTCAATATAATCGAGCAACCTGAGTTCGATCCCCGGTGCCGGCAATAATGAAATTTTTAACTTTAAGTGCTGACTTATCACGTGCTCCGCGGTGAAGGAAAACATCGTGAGGAAACCTGCATATTTTCGAAATAATAAAAAAAATATTTCGAAGATATGTGAAGTCCGCCAATCCGCAGTGGGGCCGCGTGGTGGACTATGCCCTGATACCTTCTGTATAGAGGAGGCCTTTGCCCAGCAGTGGTGCACCATGATTCGGTGAGCCAGCACCATGATTCGGTGAGCGCGATCGTGTTGATTATAAGTGAAGAATGTACGAGAAGGCAGTAGAAGAAAAATAAATCGTGGGTCAAGTGGCTACCAGACATGTGTCGGCGAGGGGGTCAGAGCTGGACTGATGATATTACCTGCTGGAGGCTCTCCTGCGGCAGCTGCTGAGCTCTAGCCCAGAGCGACATGGCGTTTCTGAAAGGAGAATCGTCACGTCAAACTTGTCGCATACTTTGCTGCGCTTAAGCATAAATAATAATAACAAATATTTTAGGACACATTCGTATACAACGTTCTCTAGTCCCAAACTACTTTATATTAATCTATATTATAATTACTATCTTACAGGTGTTAGCTATCTGTCATTCAACGTCATAAGACCTAAGGTTTAAAGGTCCAGAAAACATTTTTCACTTTTGCACAGTGATTATTGTATACAAAACTATTTCACGTGCCTTCTCGTGTTTAATTCAGTTTTAAATCCAGACCAAAACTGCGAGCTGGTTTTCGAAAGTTGCACGTGGGAATAGGAAATCGTGTTAACGCGGACTACATTCAGAACTTTTCGACTGAACCAATTCACCAATTTATTGTTTTCGCGAAGGTTTAGCTAGCTGTTGACAGCTGCACCTTGAAATCTCCCAAGAGAATATCAATAATCTTTATTTTATTGTATATAATTCTTTTGTACATGTGTATGTCACTGAACTCCTAAACGGCTGTACCGATTTTAATGAAATTTTCTGTGTGTCTTCAGGTCGATTTGAGAATGGTTTAGATTCACAATTCGGTCCACTAGAATATACGGCTACCTCACTCACCAGACGAAACGCAGAACTGCAACACTTCTACTTCACGCCGGTCTTCTGTGAGGTCGTGGTACTTACCCGGACGGACTGAATGGGCAGATTCGTGCAACAGTGAAGGCTGTTGCGTGGGGGAACCACATGGGTTTGGTAGTATCCTAATGATCTAGAAAGATCTATTATAGTCTTCCCTTCGAAAACATTGCTCCCTTACTGTAGGATAACGTTATCCTATGTTGTAAGGACGTTTTTCGTAAATAACTTCCCCGTGAACTATGTAACGAGGCTGCCACTCGAGGGCTTTTCTAACCCATCGGTTATACTACGAGCTATAGGGCAAGATTATTTAAGAACTACCCAAGGATAATTTATTGTTAAATGAAACTATTTTACGTGTTTTGTCGCGTTTAATTGGATTTTTTAAATCTTATCCTTTAAACGAGTAATTCTTGTATGTATTACAAAATAATGTTACCGCCTTATAATGTCTATACCGATCCATACTAATATTATAAATGCGAAAGTAACTCTGTCTGTCTCGCTTTTTTACGCAAAAAATAATGAACCGATTTAAACGAAATTTGGTACACAGATAGTCTAGAGCCTGAGAAAGGACATAGGCTATTTTTAATTGGAATTTTTTAAAAGAAAGATATTTATTTAAGTGTTTCAACGCGAGCGAAGCCGAGGGCGAAAAGCTAGTGACTGTATAATTACTTAATGACATTCAAAACCTGAGTCGTGAGCCGTGATAGCTCAGTGTCCGGGCGCTTGCCTTTAGTCAATACAGATAAATAAAATAGGAGTCTGTTTATAATATTAAAATAGCCGCTTTTTCCTAAATGCACATGGTACGTATACCAAAATACCATTTTTTACAATTTTTGTCTGTCTGTCTGTTTGTTTCGGCTAACCTCTAAACCGGCTGGATCGATTTTGACGGGACGGGATAGCTGATGTAATAAGGAGTAAGTTAGCCTACTTTTATTTTAGAAACTTTATTTATTTTAAATTCCACACGGACAAAGTCGCGGGCACAGCTAGTTCAATAAACGAGTACACGAGCAACCTGAGTTCGATCCCGGTGCCGGCACCAATGAAATTGTTGATTTTAATTGCTGAAACCTGCATACTTTCAGAATAATAACAAAAAAAATATTTCGAATATATGCGAAGTTCGCCAGTGAGGCCACGTGGTGCACTATGCCCCGATACCCTCTGATACAGAGGGTATAGAGGAGGCCTTTGCCCAGCAGTGGGACACGTATAGGCTGCTACTTTACTTTTGTTTTTATTCAAATCCTTGTAAACACTTAAATATATTAAAAAGACAGTCACTTTCAATGCGTAGTGACGCATAAATTTTCCAGTAACTATTCCTCATTATACCACACATGAGTTCTAAGGCACCGCTAAAATCACGGTAATGATGGCGGCAATGGCTCAGTGGCTAGAAGACGCGCCTTACTATCGCAAGGTCGTCGGTTCAAATCTCGACGAGTTCACTACTTCGGACGCATACGCACGCGAGTACCATACTGCCCACCCCCGTTAGTGCTAAGGATTTAAGAAAAGTTTAATACAAGAGTACGATATCGATATGTCCCGACAAATTAATAAAATCCTTACTAACATTATAAAGGCGAAAGTTTGTATGTATGGATGGATGTTTGTTACTCTTTCACGCACATACTGCTTAATGGATTTTAATGAAACTTTATCAATAATATAGCTTATACATCGGAATAAGACATAGGCTATAATTTATATACATATTTTATGTATATCTGTTTTTCTGTCTAAATGTTACGCCTTCAGCCTATATTACGCAGACGTAGTCGCAGGCAGCAACTAGTAAATATACTATATATACAGCGTGCCTTTACCATCGCGTCAATAATTGAACATATAAAGGATAACTTTTTAAAATTGTATTAAAGATTTACATTCTTTAAACATCGATGTTTACCGAGTTATCAAATTTTCCAAAACAAAGAATTTTAGAACACCCTTACATATAAAACTTTAATGTAAAGTTCATTTGAAAGGTCACAAAGCATATGAATGGGTTGAATGTATTTAAAAGAGACAAAACATACCGTTAGAAGGAGAGGCTTGTAATGCGGCGCTGTGGCAACGAATGAAAAAGTCAGTTGTAGGATGATGATAGGATGTAACAAATTTTGTTTCTTTTTTACTTAATTAGTTTGTTTGAAAATTATATTTTTTTAATTATGGATTTTTTTAACGTTAATATTTTTTTTATGATTATTGGCAAGTTACGTTTAGATGTGTGTTCATTTATTGTCGCGGTGGTAAAGACACGCTGTATAATGTATAAATACGATTTAGTAACACCGTGACCCAAATGAATGTACCGAAACGGACTTCCTAAAATAATGATAAAAGGCACATATATTTATTTCAGAAATACATAGTTCCATAAGATAAACTAATTAATCGTCCAACTACATGCAGTAATACGACCGCACACAGAAACGGCGATTAGTGATTAATCAGAATTAAATTAACCCTTTATAAAAGTACAGACTTTGACTATTTTAAACTCCACTCGTTTTATCAAAGAATTTAATAGTTTATAATAGGAGCTTAAGAGTGGTAGCATCTGACATTAAAATGGGATAAACAACCCCACTCCCTGGAGCAGGTGACATCTTTGATCTGAAACATGGAGACTAATAGATTATTTAGTCAAATTTTTTTAGAGTCTAGGCATAATTTGACTCTCGTTACTATGTGTCAAGGTGAGGTGTCTAACCTAAACTAGCACGGTTGCTGGATGTCTAAAAGCAGTGATAAGTAGATGGTCGGATGTGGTGATAACTAACCCTCAAATGCAGGCTGTGGAATGAAATAATATATTTTATGTGAAAAGTTGCCAAGCGAGAAGACGGTTCACTTGATGTTAAGTGAATACCGCCGCCCATGGACATCCGCTACAAACGAAGGTTGCAGATGCGTTGACGACCCTTTGAAAATTGGGCTCTGGCCACCTCACTCACCAGACGAAACGCGAAAGTATTATACTTTCTAAAAATATAAACATATTATATGCAACAGCCGAGGCTGCTGCGCGGCCCTACCACCATAGTATATCTACAGTATGTCAATGACAAGCGAACTATTATTGCTATTGACTCTTGTCTAATTATTATCATTGGACCAGATTGGCTTAGTGGATAGTGAAGTAGTCTCTTGGGCCAGTGGGTGTAGGTTCAATACCCAATACTATAAAAATAGACAGTATTTTTCTAGTTATTAACTAAAGAAAAGTATGTTTAAATATGTTTATCTGTTACACAGTTACCATAGTACAAAATTTGCTTAGTTTTGAGCTAGATTATATCAAATAAAAAATATGACCTGAAACATTTATTAATTTGTATTAAAATGGACTATATCATAAAAAATGGACTAGGTATATATAATCCACAGCTGTCTATTTAAATAAACAATTATCTTATAGAGTGAAAGTAAGTTTGAGGAAAACACGTACATCTTTCCGACAATTACTCAAAGTGTAATCCATCAGTATAAAACCTTTCCACTCTTTATAAGCACAATACGGGCTGTACCATTAATATAATTAAAAAGATAAAAGGTAACAGATAAGGGCTGTAAACTTACCCCTAACGTCTCAATTTTACAGCCTACACTCTGCTAGATGATCTGAAAAAAAAAAAATATTTATGGTTTGTACCGTAATTATTAAAATTACAGAATTATTACAGTTTTCAACATAAATTAGCTAAAACACATGTCTCTACTTTTGTACACTACATCACTGGTTGGTTTATATGTTTTGTTATTACATAGTGATTATCAATATATAAAGAGACAAACAGGCAGACATTAAGAAACACATGTCTAAAATACAAAGACGCTTGCTATGAAATTGTTTCAGTTGTATAGACTACTAGGGCAGGTGCAATTTATTATACATATAAACATTACTCTTAAATCACTCTATCTAGTAAAAAAAACCACATCAAGATCCATTGGGTTGTTTTAAACTATGTAGTTATTGGAGAAACTGAAATGAATTACGTATAAGTAGCAAAGTTACAAAGTGTCAACTAAGCTTTTTCGATCGTATGATGCGATCACATATACTAGAATTGGAGAAGCAGTTGATCATGGAAGAGATGCATGGGAAGCGCTCAAGGGGCCCAAATCGAAAACGATAGTACAAAAGTATTGTACAATAGGAGAAAATGAAATGCGGCAAAGGGAGGAACCACAACAATCTATTGAACTGGCCGCAGAACAGAAGTAAATGGAGACTAATCATATATGGTCATGATCCTCATTAGTGAGGGAACAACAAAGAAAAAGAAGCACAGTTTCTTTCAGGTTCTTTT